TTTTCGTCATGGATACCGAGTGTTTGCTCTTATAGTTAACCTTTGCGCATGTAGATGCGAATCTGTACGTTGGCACATCTGCCTCAGAGCTGCTTCACTTCGTACAAATTCCACCAGACCCAAACGATCGACCCGGGCAACCCGTTTATATCCTCGCATCTCGACTATGTCCTCAATATGTCGAAACTCCAGGCACTCCGAACTCGCGACCCGGCGTTCAGCAAATTCTCCTACTACCTCGTGTCGGCAAAGCATGTATTCTATGCAATTGGACTGTTACTTTCTACTCCCTTCCCGAACTTAGTCCTGTTTTTGGAACAACTCTAGTCAAGAACTGTAGCTGGATAGGCGGTATTGATCTGAATGAGCCCTTGTTCGACGATGGAAGTGCAGAGAGAAGCGGAGGTGTCACTATCCTTCTCTCCCTCATGCGCAAGATCCAGGTCGTGCGTGTGGGTGAGGACGCGCGCGCCTTTAAGGTACGTATCAGCGCATTGAATGACTGATCCGCTACTGACGCAATATAGAAAATCGATTTCTCTGGAAGCACTCTGTCAGTTCGCAGGGACTCAATTGCTTGTGTGGCAGACTCTAAGTCGTATGCGCTTATCGATGTGGAACAACAACTCAAGATCCCCTTGATGAGTATTTCATCCTTGGAAGAAACAACGTCGCCCAGTGAAATTGGACATGCTCATAGCATTGGAGCGGATACAACAAGTGGGCTACTCCGAAGCTCCTCTTCGACCGGGAACCGCACATCTAGCGAAGCCCCAAGCCATAGTCGGAGCACGAGCTTGGGGGGTTCAATATTGGACAGTATCCGTCGGCAAGATCATCGTGGCAACGAAGCTGAAGATTTCCTTGGCCGCAACACCTCACCGCAGCCGTCCATAAGCCCCAGGCCATCAATGGAGAGAGCTTCAACACCAAATCCTCCTTCGCTCGATAAACCTCTCCCAGCTGCACCTTCGCCATCAGGTACTCCTTCTCAGTCGACTGACCCTCGACCAAGGCCTGGCTCCGTCTTTCTAAAGCCCCACATCACTTCTCCGACCCCTGACGAATTCCTAATTGTTACTGGAACTGACCCCCTGGAGCCGGGAATCGGCATGTTTGTGAATCTCGATGGTGATCCTACGAGGCCTACTCTCGAGTTTACCAGATATCCTAAGGAAGTCGTTGTAGACAGCCCGCCTCTAGATGCTAACTTGTCAGAACAGTCTTCAATGCAGGAAGAAGACGGTTATGTTCTAGCCTCGATGACAAGAGAAAAGGACGGCTTGAAATATGGATTAGAGATCCAAAGATTTGATGCGGGCTCAGATCCAAACCCACAGAAGTTCTGGTTGACAGCTAGAGAAGCTGATGGTGTCTATGGTATTCGTTCGCTTGCTGGCAGCGAAGAAACGCGATTCGATGAAATTGTTCACAAATTGTCGCAAAGGCGATACACACCTTTCTCTGTCTCAATCTCACCTGGTACCCCTGATCCTTCATCTTCAGCCAAGACACCAGACTCGAGGACAGCACTGTCAATAGAACACCTCTCGAAGGAGAAGGAGCTTTTTGACAGAAATATTGACTCACAAGACGAAGAATCATTGCCAGAAGAGTGGGAGGCAAATCGCAATGCAGAGGGCGAGGAATTTGCCCGACAACTTGCCAAGGCTCAGGCAAGACTGGCAGTCTGGAGTGGAAGCCGCATCTGGTGGGCTATTCGAAATCCCTTACTCATACAACTTGACGCCGTCTTGGAAACAGCTTGTGTCGGAGATGTTTTTAGCCCTGTCGAGCTGGACAGACAGGCGATATTCACCACTATTAACTCTATCAGGGGTCGAGAACCGCAAAGCGAGTTGGAATTTATGACTTATGGATATATACGGCAGAAAGCTGGCATCTTGCTTTTGACGAACTTATTAAAGTCCCCTGAAGACAAGCAGTTCACGGAAAAAGACGTAAAAGCTCTTGAAGAAGTGCTAATCGAGAGTGGTCTTGACCCCAGAGTGGTTCTTTCGCTGATTCCTAGCGTTCGAAACGAGATAATAGAAGGCTCACGCGGGATCTGGATATATGGCGGCGTGAGGAGGACTGCCGATGCCTACCTCAGAAGTAGGGAGTTCCAGATGACATCTAAGGACAGTATTGGAACACTGGAACCGAGGACGATGCATTTCCTTCGAAGGTTTCTTGGGACTTGGCGGAAGAAGAAAGGATTTGGCAGTGTTGCCGATGAGCGAGAAGTGTTTCACACAGTTGATGCCGCGTTGCTGCTCGTTCTTCTCGAGATTGACCAACACTCACCCAAGGGATTGGGCAAAGGAGGTGCTGTGAGATCTGAGCTATACGAAATTGTGGATAAGGGAGTTGATTGCTTTGACCGCGCAGTCGGTCTACTCGAAACATACCATCGACTCTTCGTGCTAAGTCGCCTGTACCAGAGCCGGAAACTGTCAGGCGATGTTCTGGCCACTTGGAGGCGGATTATCGAAGGCGAGCAGGACGTAGGGCAGGAACTCCGTGAAGGAGAGCAGCGAGTTCGCGAGTATCTGACCAAGATCAGCAGCCAGGCTCTTGTCCAAGAATACGGTGTGTGGCTTGCAAATCGCAACCCAAAGCTTGGTGTTCAGGTTTTTACCGAAGACAAGGGACGAGCACCCAAATTTGAGCCAGCGCAAGCCGTTGCAATCTTGCGAAAGGAGGCACCTGATGCAGTAAAATACTACCTCGAACACTTGGTGTTTGGCAAGGGCCATACCACTTATATCAACGACCTGATGGCATACTACCTCGACGTGGTTGTCCACGATCTAGACTCATCTGAGGAGAGCCGAACTTTAGTTAGAGCGACATATGAGGCATACCGTGCCTTACAACCTCCAAAGCCTGCATACAGCCACTTCCTTCGGGACAACGCCCCAGACGACAACGAGGTCTGGCACAGCCGTTTGAGGCTACTTCAACTCTTGGGTGAAGCCAATGATTATGATGCAGCAGCAATAAGAGATCGGATCTCTACACTTCCTGATGATCTTTTGGTGCCCGAGACCATCATACTTGCTGGCCGAGAATGCAAACACGACGATGCCCTGCGCCTTCTGGTCCACAACTTGGGCGACTATGATACCGCAGTCTCATATTGTCTGCGAGGTGGCGCGAACACAACAGGCGCTGCTCCCTCTCAAAGACCATCATTTGAGGAACAACGTCGTCTGTTTAACGTCGTCCTCCATGAGTTGCTCACTCTTGAAAACATCAGTGATCGTGTCGAGCAGACTGGAGCGCTCCTGGAGCGGTTTGGGGGCTGGTTCGAGATTGATGAGGTACTCAGTCTTATCCCTGATGATTGGTCTGTCGACATTATCGCAGGCTTTTTAGTTGGAGCGCTTAAGCGTCTTGTGGGAGAGCGGCACGAAGCGATGCTGACTCGCGCCCTGAGCGGAGCCCAAAACTTGCGTGTAAGCTACGATCGTGTTGCCAAGATTGATGAGAAGGGGCCGAGCATTGAAGCTTCGAATTAATACGTTCCTAGCCAAGCAAGCTGGGCTGTTTCATTATATAAAGAGGGGGATTCAGAGCGAGCGTATGTGCGGAGAATATATACATCATAATTCAGGGGCATCCTATTTATTCTTGATATCGTGATCATATGCATCTAACATATCTACATCTTCATACAGTAGTTAAGCTTTTCCTCACTTCACATGACTTGTTTACCACTCTAACCAGCCGCCCTCCAGCTCTTGTTCTTAAAACCGGAGGGCATTCATCTTACTCCGTATCCGCCCCTCACGAAGTCGTTGCTCCGCCTCATTTTGCGGGCGGTAGTCGAGTCGTTTCAAGGAGAACCAATCAATGAAGTAGAGAAGACGGAACTAGAAGAATTGTCTTACTCCGCCACGATAAGCTCAAATGGTTCCCGGAGTCCGAGCGTGAGGTGGTCGTGGTACTTAAAGGCTCTTCTTTTCCTTCTTGCTCAGTGAATTTTCCGGGCTTCTCAACGTCTCATATAAGCCTCACGATGTCGAAATCCACTTCAGCGAAGCGACGACGAGCCACCTCTTGCGCACCGTAACATCATCCTCACGCTCAATATCCCATAGTCTCTCCTCGCCGTTACAGTCTCTCTCCCAGATCCTCTCAACCTCGAGTCCGACCTTCTGGAGCGCCGCTGCATCATAAAACCCGCTCATCTTTGTTCGACCAGTATGGAATCCAGCGACAACCCAACATCGGGCCTCAGGAGTTTGCTTAAGAAAGTGGGCGACTGAGCGGTGAAGGTTTTCGTGCTGCCAGGGCATCCAGAGACAATCGGCGGCGATGACACGGTCGAATGAGTGAGCAGCTGATGTGCTGAAAGGATCTTCGAGCTCACCCCATGAATGGCCGTGTATGGATACTGCGGAAGAGGGGGTTGTCTCAGCACCAGCGGGGGATAAAGAGGGCTGAATGTTGCGAGCGACGTTTGTGCGAAGGGTTTTGAGAACAGGCTCAGCTGGATAGTCTGTGACAACGACACGCTTTGCGCCTAGTAGGCCACCCATGATACTCGGCAACGCGGTTCCGGCTCCGAGCTCAAGAGTTTCGAGCCCTTTCACATCGAAGGAAATAATGTCCTGTGCCTCACGAGGCTTCTCAAGGGGAATGCCGAGAGAGTCGGCCTCGATGAACTCTGCGAGCAGAAGCGAAGCGTTCCAGAGGTAATGAGAAAACAGCTTGCGGTCATCCTCCTTCACGGGGTCGGCGAGATCGATAACGAGAGGCTTGGGGAGATGAGGTGAGGCATATGAGAGGTTGTGCTCCGCATCGCCGTGTTGATTCGTGATATCGTCTGGAAAGATGACGCCCAGGGCTGTTGAGAGATAGTCTTCAGGGCTATCGGCTTCTCCGTTGACGGAGATACGCCAGGTAAGAGACATGGCCTTACTAAAATAGATTGTGCCGAAACGTAATATCAAGGTGAAGATTTTATTATCTTGGTGTAGATGCCCAGCCAGCTCCGATGATCTGACTCGATTTGCTTGATAGATCACTCGATCTCACTCAAACAGCTCTCCGATACGGCGTATTAAATGGCAGATATGCAAATAACTCAGACAAATGCAAATAATAATATGGCTGTACAGATCAAGATTTATCGGTATAATGATGATTGGAGTGAAAGTAGGCAGGCGTGAATGATAGTGGGAGGGGCATTAAGAAAATTTGCTAACTCCGACCGCTTTTTTTGGAGACTAAGATAGGTATCAGCAATAAGCAATACAACTCATGTTACACAATAACAAACATGATATATCAATTGCTATAATATTGCGGACCGTATTTGTTCTATACCATTCTTGATTGCCTTTGTCACAGAAGTTGGTCTTAGACAGAGTTGGAGTTGTCAGCACACGAAAAGGCAGCTGATCCTCCTGACACCTTGTAAGAGTCAATAACGCCAATAACAGATCCATATGTTCCAGCAATCATCAGAAACATTCCAGAAAGAATAACAAAACTGCTCCATATAACCATAAGAATCCACTTTGGAGATCTCTCCTGCTTACCCGCGCTCCAGTTATCGTATAACCAGAAGCAACCATAGGGCTGAAATGTTTGGAGTGTACCTAGGAGAGCTCCAACGAGAGACACGAGGCTTCCAAAGACAGGAATTGCGCTCGCTATGATGTAGGCTGACAAGGCTGTAGTAAAGGTCAGGCCTAGCCATGTAGCCCAGTGAGTGAAGGTGTTGGCCGTGAGATGCTTTGAGCCTCGACAAATTCGAACGAACACGTATTTGCCTGTGACCTACATAGCTTTTGTATCAGTACTCGTTCTTTCCCAAGGCTGAATTATATCCATATCAAGTACTTACATGAGCATTGATAGTTGCACCAACGATCAAACCTGGTAAAGCAAGACCGTAAGCGACTTGCTTAATAGTCTTCCCAGCCGATCCCAAAGCAGGCGAAGCAACATAGGAGCCACAGTAGTAGTAGATAATAATTCCCACGATGATATATGTCGCAGTTGCAACGGACTGACAGAGAAGCATCGCTTTGGTGTAGTGATGTGGATCGCGCATCTCTGCAGCAATAGGGAAAAATAGGGGTGTGCCAGCATAGGCAAAGACCATTGTCGAGAGAGCCGACATGGCCTCCGTAATGCTCGGTTTGTTATAGAGTTTGTAATCGGATTTCCATTCGCCTTCGAGGTTTATCTTTGGGACTGCTGAGGGCCGGTCTTGGATGCTGACGGCGATGGTAACGACATAGACTGACTCTGTCAGTATGATTGACAACTTTGAAGGATAGTTAACTTACCAGCTGCCATAAGAGAGATCACTCCCACCCATGCCAGCCAGCTTATTCGACCCAGTGTGCGAATACTGGCGCATAGAAAGACGACTATAGCAGCTACTGCGACAAAAGTAGCTGTGCAAGTCCCATGCGTTGACAAAGCGTTGAAGCTGATAGAGATACCCAATATTCCCGATGCAGAAGCAAAGATTGTAACTTGTACAGTCACTGTCAGTAACGAACTCATCGTTGAGCGTCATCACTCACACAAAGCAAAACTGATTCCAAGAAACTCTCGTCCAAAACGTCCAAATAAGATACCGCCTGCATCGTCAATACCGTAAACCTCGCGGTGATTAAGCTTGAATGTTCCAATAATATAGTCAGACCAAGTGGTGATGCCTCCAATGACGAGCAGACATAGGAGTCCGGGGATAAGGCCCAGAGTGTGGAACGCCGATGGTATTGAGAGGATGCCCAGACCGATTTGGGTCTTCATCATAAGTGCAGAAGTGCCTAGCCATCCAACCTGTTGGTGTCAGTATTTGCTACTACAAGAAACCTGTGGGAAGCACTTACGTCTCGGTAATTGGGTCCATCTTCTGTGATATCACCGAAGACAGCATCGTGAGCTACGGCTGGACGAGTGTCGTCTTGATTTAGACCTTCTTGTGAAAGAATTGGCACTGGATCCAAGTTCTCAGGCTCTCGCTTGTTGGTGTGTCTGATACCCATGTTGCTTGTTTCTTCAGAAGCAAATAAGAAGAATGAGATGTTGTCAAGATCAAAATGATAGCTGGCCGTACGTACCCTTTCAGTATCTCCCCTCACGTATTCGGCCCGCCAGAACTCTACTCTCTGGATACACATTGCTCATTACTCCTCTATAAACTTTTCCGATGCTCGCATGGCGTTTCTATGATGAAGTGACTTACCGTCTCAGAGTTTCTCTATCGTCTTAACCATCCAGTTCAGGCATTCATATCTCCTCTATGCCTATCAGAGCGGAACGCAGAAGTCACTGTTCGTTTAGAAATCCATTCTCTCGGCCCATATGTTACTGAATATTGGCCAGTTTCCTTGATCTTGTTGCTTCGCTGTGAGGGGATGACTACATAAAGTTCGTGGCTGTATTGTGGTGATGTGCTCTTATCATCTCAACTGTCCATTGGGTCTTTTAACATCTTCATCGAGTGTCTAGGGTTCACTCTCTACCTATCAGAGCGTGCAATAAAACGTCAGGCCTCAACTATAGCCTGCAATAGAACCTTGATTTAGATAATTTTAGGGCTTGCTCATCCTAACCTTTTGAGTATCTCGTTATCTTCCACGTCTTAATCAGAGGCATCAAGCCATTTTACACTCTAGACAAGTGTACCATGTCGAGAAAATTGGCATCTATCATGCAAGGCGCGACCGATATGTGCGTGCTTAATGCGATACACTAAAACAAATATTATATTTCTAGTCGCATTCTCCCTGCCAACTGTCTAGTTATGGTTCAGCTTAAGTCTAACAAAATGCCGAGACATTCAGTCCACTAACTGCTCCAACGGCATGTCAAATCGGGTTATTAATAAGTGGTATTATCATATTAGTGCTCATATTATACATCCTTGTTTCAGCTACTGATTCCATCAAAAACTCCCAGGTCCTGAAACATACACGCAAGCCCATTCCAGTCCAAATGCTTTGTACAGTAACTTCAACAAGCACTCAAAGAAAACACCAATCACGATAAACAAACAGTCCTTGAACAATATGCAGATTAGGACAATGTCCTCTCGAATAAGTATTGCTGTCAAGATAGTCCATTATTGTCATTAAGCCATCAATGGGTGAGGTACCAGTCCAAATCCCAGATAAAACAACAGTAAAAACATGGGTATCGATATGTCAACTCCATGGCGCGAATCAGTTCCCTTTCCTTTCCTTTCCCTCGAAACCCTCATCCTATGCCTCTTCATAAGGGGATGTGTCCCGGTTCCCAAGCCCAAACCCAGTCATAAATATTGTCCGTGAAATACCCGGATGTTCCCTTTTTCTAATACAATCCCGCTTACGCCGCGCCCATTATGCTTTTTTTTTCGATATGTTTTGGTTCGTATACTTTGAGAGAGGGTTTGTAGTTGGTGATTGTAGGTGTGTGTGATCGATGATGCCGAGTCGTTATAGAGTAGTGGTGGTGGTGTTGGCGGTGAGCATTTGCTGCATCTCCTTGAGCTGTTCGGCAGTAGGGTCGTCGGAGATCCAAGGGCCCTTCTCTTCCTCGGTGGCACCGTGGAAGCCAGCAGCTCGCTTGAGAGTTTGAACGTCGAGGTCTGTGACATAAGACTTGCCATCAGACAGCTTGATGCGGACCTCATGGTCGGTGGAGAGCATCATGTCGTCCTTGGCAAGACGACGAGGACCATCAAAGACAGCCATGACACGCTTCTTCATGGTCATCTGGCCCTTATCAAAACCCCACGATGACGGGTAGTCGCGACGGTTCTTGCGGCTGCGAGTCTTGGTTCCCAAGGGGACACCACCTCGGGAGTGAGTGACGCCTCGAGACTTCTGGACACCGTTGGCAGGGTTGCCCTTCTTTCTGGTGGCGGGAGAAGAGTTGCTTCGGGGAGAGCTATCATCATCATCATCGCCACTGTCGGCATCTTCATCATCATGGTTTGCCATCACAGTGTCGGTGGTAGTGGGGAGGTTGTTCTTCTCCAGAGTCTGGTGAACGTCCTTATCGTTCTCAACCTCAGCCAGGCGCTTAGCGTTGATGGCCTCGGCAGGGTCCTCTTGCTGGACAATGCGCAGCACACAGTCGTCAAGATGCTCGTAAAAGTCCTGAGCGTTGGAGAAGGTCTGTGAGCAAGTGCTACACTTGCCAGTGGCATCAGGAGCATAGCCAGTCAGCTTCTTGTTCGAGTTGGCACCTGCAGAAGACTTCTTTCGGCTGTTGGGTGGAGTCTGCTCAACACCATGAACTGCAGTCAAGTGGCGCTTGAAGACATCGGCACGGTTAAAGGACTTCTCCGCAGCCGAGCCGGAGCCTGGGCAGAAGCCGCAGACCATTGTGCCTTTGTAGTGTGTGAGGGTGTGACGGTTCTTGTCATACTTGCGAGCAAAACCCTTGGTGTGGTACTCGCAGGTCTGGATGGGGCACTTTTCAGGACGCTCAGTCTGGTGAGTGAGCATGTGAGCCTTCAGGTCCTTGAAGGTCTTGCCGCAGTCGGGATAGGTGCATCTCTGCTTCTCCTTGGACTCGTCACTGCTATACTCGCCCGGTGTAGGTGGGACGAATTGGGTGACGCTTGGGGCACGGATATGGTTGTGGTTTTGAGTTTGACTGTGATTATCCATTGGTGCACCGTAAGGGCTGTTGGGAAAAGTGGATTGAAAGTTTGTGGTTTGGAGAAAAGGTGAAGAGCTATTGGTCCTCATCATGTGAGGTTGAGGCGAAGAGGAAGAGGCAGAAGGAGAAGTGGGATATGTGTGATTAGGATTGGCATTGGTCTGCTGGAAGTGACTGTCATAGGGAGGGATCCCCATAGGAGGGCGAGTAAGCTCTGGATGAATCAGAGATGGGTCTGTCATGATAGAGAAACCTGGTTAGCGATCTACTACGGTAACAGTACAGAGACAGGCAGTGCAGTGCTGCTCAGGAACGGAACGGAGACTGGTGGAGTTGAGGATGGACGCGAATGATAGAGATTGCAACGTCAAGTCAGCTGAGCTAGGCCCAATATGGGTTTCCAGCTGGCCACTGCCGATGAAAAGCAAGCAAGATCGCCAATCGTTTGACAGCGGAGAGGTGACATCAAGCGCCGATTGGGTTGACGTATGTAATGTCTCAGTTGACAACGGAAGAGCCCACGGGCTAAATCGTTGTTTAAAAGACACGAACGTGTGATGGGAAGTGGGACGTGATTGCAAGGGATAAACTCTAAGAGGAAGCAGAGAGAATGACAAGATGATGATCGGCCATATTCAAGTCGGCTCCAGCTGAACTCAATGAGCCAAGAGAGCCGACGACCTGGTAGAGACAGGCGCAAGCGCAAGCGCAATCCGACACATCGTTTTTTGTCATATTCAAAGCAGCGAACCGAGCAGGGTTCAGAGACACTAAGCATCTGGTGGTGGGGAAGAGGCCTCAGACTGGGTCTCTCTCTCTGCCAATGCCCTTACGAGGCAGGGGGAAAGGGATCGCTGAACTCGAAGCGAGTAGGAAATAGCTCTGAACTTACCAACAAAAGCCTTTGCTGCCGGGAAATCGAAGCTGAGCTCATCCATTCCGGAGCTAGGAAACGACGCAAAATCGGATCCGATGTAGTCACTGCCTACAATTGTAGGCTGGAGTCCGAGGCCTTGGGGAGCCCACTCGGGCATTGCACCCATTTGGCCATGGTTTGATTGGGGAGATCCAATTGCCGAAGACGTTGTTGACGCTGCCGAGGCTGTGGAAAGGCTTGATGAAGGGAGTCTCATGTCTGAAGACTCATCTGTGTACATGCTTGGTGATGCGCGGCTGTTGAGCATGTAGTTGGGGGCCTCGGCGTACAATGAGGGTTCGACAAAGCCCATTGATGAAGCGAATGTATCTTGGCTGCCGCTCTGCTGTTGGAAGCCGAAGGCATCGGCAGGGATGCTCACGTCCATGGGTCCTGAAGTGAAGATGACGTTGGAATCCGTATATCGGGCAAAGTCCTCGGCGTCGGAGTGATGAGGGAACATGGCGAATGATGGTTCTGTCAAGGCTGCCATGATGTCTGTGGAAGAAAGGCGGAAAATAGAGGTTTGAATGTTGTTAAGGTGAAGACGAGAGTTGTAGTGGCCAAGGTGAGGACGGGCTTAAAGCACTTATAGCTCAAGCTCGGGTTGCAATCACCTTTATCTATAATCGCAACACCACAATGTCAGGTTCGGAGCTCCAAGTGAAGGGGGAGAGTGGCAGGAGCGGGGACTTTTCTCAACGTCGAGGCAAAGAATGAGTGGACGTAACCCGGGGAAGCTTACCTGCACTTCGCATTCCAGAAACGGAGTGAGGCTTGAGGTGAGTCGAAGTCTCGCAGGGTCTGAGATGTTTCTGGTGGATGTGGATTTAGACACGGCAAACAATCTTCTTCTGGGACTCGTGTGCTCTTGACGAACTGTTTCGTGTCTCGATGGGAGTGTTGCCAGAGTCGAATTAAGAATGCTCAGTTCACCAGTTGTCTCAAAGTGTTCGTGGTGAAGGTGAAATTGGAGATGAGGGTGATGTTAGTGCCCGGTGGATAGTGGGAGGAGCACTACAGGTCGAAGTATGCAGAAACCAGTTGTTGAACTGGTCTTGTCGTCTTGGAAAGGACAGACAATGGTCTTTAAAAGAAACACTGTCGTGATAGATTGACCTTTTCAAGGTTGTCGTTGTCGAGTAGCAAGCTCTTCCAAGACCCAGCGAGAGGGTTGGGGGCTGCCAACGTAGATATAGTCAAGGCACCACTGCACCTGCATTCGGGCCCCGTCCGCGATGGATCGGCTCTCTCCAGTTGACAGACAACTCGAGAGGAGGCTGCTAGGGTAAAGTGTCCCAGAGGTGAAAGCCATGTACGATACATCAGCCGGTACATTGGTAGGGCCTAGCTCTCTCTAACCCCAAGCCTCTAGGGTCTAGCAATTGAAGCCAGTCCAGGGGAGGGAACCAGGGGGGAGGGTGAGCCCACCACCCCATCACCAACCAGCCAGCTCAAGCCCAAGCCCAGTTGACCAGGCCTAAAAAAGACGAGGAGGGTGTGTGTGTACAGGACGGACAGCACAGCCGTGGGGAGGTCTAAAACAAAGGTAAGAAGGAAAAAACAAATCCAACTCCATTAGATGGCAGAGATAGAAACAGAGACAGAGGCACCCCAGCGGCCCAGCGCCATGCAGCGCCAGAGAGCGCCAGCCTGCCTCGGAGTGTAAGGATCAGGGAGAGAAGGGAACGGCACATTCATTCAGTTACTCGATTGAAATGTGCCTGCCGTAAAGTACGATTGATGTGTACTGTACAATACAGTACTGAACTGTGTGGACAATTCCAGGCTTTGATATTCAAGACATGATGCATCCATGTTTTGGGGGCCCTGGATTTCGGGAGGATCATTATCATTGAGGGGGAGCAGAGACAATGATTGAAGGGTGTCGCCTCCCGCCTTTCTCATTGCGAGATACGGAGAAGAATCGCTCCTTGAAGAAAATGGTCCGCTATGTATCACCGCCCTCAATAATTACCTGAAGTTGCGGCTTTGTCTGTCCTTGACGTCGAAAAGGCGGAGGTTACAGAGCAGAGTAACGTTTTGGTACGGAAACATGGGGTGAACCAAAGACCCGACCACCGAGGCGTGTGCGTGAGAAACAAATTGATCTACGAAGACGTCAATGAGAGGGACTTGCGTCGTAAGTAGCAGTACAAAGAGGAAGGCCTCCTAGATGGACAGGGTTAATATTTGGCAGTGTGACGGGGCGATTCCAAGGGTTGACAGAGGAATTTCTCAGGCAGGGGGGCTCTGCTCCAAGTCCCGGTACTCGGAGGATGTAGCTTCTGGTACGTACTGATGACCCTAGCACACTCCAAGGACACTCCACCGTCCGCAGTCGATAGGTCCATCATCGTCTTTCACATCTTCAGGGGTCTCCCAAGGCTGTCCCACGTCACAACTCTCTGTAAGATAGACTGTATCTAGCCAGTGCCGTACCGTACCGTACCGCTTCCCCTCAGAATATAGCATGTTTATACGGGCTGGATGTCATCAGGTTGCTATTCGTGGTAAGCCAATTGTGATGGTGGTTTAAATCTAAATGAAGCGATTGAATGAGAGTTGCGGAAGTCTAAACTCAATGCTAGATGCAGATGCAGATGCACCAGAGCAGGTAAGGCAGAGTTTACCTATGAACTTAGACCCCGTGCGGCAACCATCGTCAATCTTCCGTCCATGGTTCGCGCGGTGATCCGCTTAACCTACACTGTTTGCTGCTACTGTAGCTACTGCGCTGAACCCCTCTTCTTCATTCATCATATCCCAATCATCATCCCCTCCCTCCCTTCATCACATTGCATCCAATGATGTCCTCCTGATCCTCGATGAGTCTGATCTGACATGGACCAGCCCGTTGTAAGGTTCCAGGTTGTCGGTTTAAATTATTTGGAGTGTTTGGTCATTTGCAATATTATGTCTTTTCGCAGGATAACTCAAAATTGGTGATATTGCACAAGCAGTTGGTAATTGCGTTTTACTTGTTACTACTGTGTCAAACACCACGGCACATCGGCAATTGACCAAACAAGAAGACGATTGGTTATCATGTCGGTAAGGTAAGCTCTTGGCTCTCTCAAACTATCGGTACAATAGACTTCACATCGCATCACAGGCGTAGCATTCCTCAGTTGCCTCAATGAACTTACACATGCAGCATTCTAAGCATCTTCAGGGTAAGTCCAGCAACACTACCCGCCCGCGTCTGCAAATATCTGGGGCCGCGAGACATTGAAGCGTCTGTTAAAACGTGGTGGTTCCAAGAGAGGCTTTGCCCCGAACGGCGCTGGTGCAAATGGCAGATATTTTTATCGATAGACCAATGCACAACCCAACCCAGATGTAACCCATCGATGCATCAAATAGTGCTGCCCTGCCCTATGAACAGAGGGCTGTGCCTCTCACAGAATTGTGCTGTGAATCAATCAATCAATCAGTTACTGGGACCAATCATCTTGTTCGGTTGCTTGATGTCTTAATCGGCCCCGAGGCCTGGGGGCGCAGTCCGGCCTCGCCCGTCTTCCCAAATCTGGGACCCTTGAACATATTGTCCCCTGATGCCTCCTCCCCCTGCCTCTCCCTCAAACCCTTTCCCGACGTGGTCGCTGCGCCCTTGTCACTGGCTCCATCGATTCGCACGTTGCGTTGCATCTCCAGGGGAAGGCGTACCAGCCAGCATCAGTCAAGTCAGTCAGGGTGGTCAAAGTATTGGATTCAAGCATATCTTGCTTGGCTATTCCCAAACTGGTCACTCGTGTCTTCGCGTCTTTGCTGACCCGGAAGATCACTGCTGTCAAGAGTTACTCATTTGAGCATGCCTGTCAATGTCCCTGCGCTCACAGATCTCCATTATGACAGAATGTTACTGTCAAGTGTTTCATGCCTGGCCTAGCTGGTCCAAGGCAATATTGTCTCCATTTCACCATCGTAGACCACACTAAAATGAACTTCAGAAGCCTTGCGGAATAAAACAAACGCCTAGCACCACGTTGACAATGGATGTCATCTCCACATGGCGTCGGCTCAACATGGCGCGCAATGAGACAGGCATCGGAATGTTTACATGCACTCAACTGGATACGATCAAAAGCATAAGAAATTATGGCGGAATCTAATTCACTAGCAGACAAACTTCCAATTCGATGAATTGTTCTAGGTGGAGTCTAAGAGAGTGAAGTATCCACGAGGGAAATGATCAAAGAAAATACCTAAGATCAAAGTTAATTAGACCTGCATCTCCGGAAACGCCATGTAATGTCTGGTCCGGCTTACAATACTGCTTCTAATACATTATCTTAATGTAACGCGGTTGCTAGTCAAGCAGCTTGGCGTTCTACTACTCCTATATGTCTTAATTGATCAGGATAGGTACGAAAAAGGTGTTGCGATAATGGCTGTGTCTTGGGTGCCAGATCCATATGATGTATAAGCAAGCTAACAAGTCTCGAGGCGGGCATCCATCATTCATTCGTAGGGCTTAGCAAACCTTGTCTCAAATAACCTTACAGATAGCAGGAATCATGTGTCTGAAATATCGACTTCTCTGCATCTCAGACGGACATTCTTTCACGCAAACTCTATGATTCAGACAAGAATGTCGTCCCTCGTGGCGCCGGGGCTTGAACCGTTTAAGGTCTGAGTTCTCCCTTTCATCCGAACGCCATGTCCAGGCGACGTAAAACGGTAGAAAGCGCCTCTAGAAGGGTTTCATTTGAAGCTTTGTTTCCTCAGAGGTCCATCCCACTGTACCGCATGCTGTGCAGAGTTCCTGCGTTTATTGACGGCGGCAGTGATGGGTTCAAGTTGGTTCTTGGAGACGCAACTGGCTTAGCGTTGCGGAGTGTGTAGAGGGCTGCTAAGCCATCATCGACGGATATGCACTTTCTATTGGATGCTGTGTACCAGCAATCTCTTGGCAAGAGCTTGTCAAGTTGCTGTGGATGGTGGGGGTTTAAAAAAAGAAGCGGGATGGCTGTGCAACACCCGCTACTGGACATTTTGACGCGATTAGAATATATCAAGAACGAATCTAGGGTGTGCTGTGAATAAGTCAAAGAACAGTCGCAATGGGTTTTAGTAACTGCATACGTTTCTTGAAACCTGAAAGCGGATTTGCATATGTGAAACCTTTTCGAGTCTAGGCTAGGCATTCTTCTCAAGGCAGCAACACTATTGCAGCTACGCCGCGATGTATCAACGCACGAGAGCTCTCATCACTGGGTACACCGCGTTACCAGGGATGCAGTTGCATGGCACATCGATTGATCGAGCTCTGGTGAAGATCCTTATGACTGGTCTAATGCTGGTCAACGTCATACCCTAGCATCCTAGCGAAAACGAGATACACGAGACACCGGGTACGGCATATGGATGAGCAGTTGACCTTCTCAAGTAGGCAACTCTTTCTCCACGATCCATCTTTAGTTTGCAAAGCAACTGTGATCCCGATTTCAGGAGTTCTTTGGCGGTGCTGCCTAAATGCAGAGCCTCAGAATGCATTAACTATACCCTATCATCTCAGGCCTGCTACATAGCATCAATGAAAATAATAATCGACATGAAATTGATTGATTAATTATACTCCGGAGTAACACGCACACCTTGTCATCCTTCCCGTACAACTCTGACACTAGCTCATCGTCAACCCTTGCTTGATGTGGCTCGGGTTGATCCAGCATGCTGGAACGCTTATAGATGCATAACAGAGGTAATATTGACGAGACAAATAAGCAAGAATTATACGTTCACCGCTAGATCTTTGAGGAAACAAAAGCAAAGAAAGACAGATTGGGCATCACTCACAGGACTGATCATCAAAACTGCTGTACATGCAGTAACACTCTCTAATGTCTTGTTGACAGGTACGTATCGGAGAAGGGGAAGATGTTGACAAACATGGACAGGGGCTCAGAAGTGGGTCACGAAAGGATACAAGGGAAATCCGATGCAGCGGGTCTCCTCTCTCTCACTCTCTTATCGCATTCCACTTTCACTCCGCCATAATCTGACCAATGTCATCGTGCATCATTTTATTAGTGCCTCCACGTATCACCCTTTTTTTTTTTTTTTTTTTTTTTTTTTTTGCTGTGTCTGTCTTGATGAGTTTCGATGAGATGACTGCTTGAGATCTCCTAAACATCAATCGATTCCCACTGGCCGGTTCAGTGGCTGACTGGGTAATCATCCATGGGTCAGCGTCAGCCTGCATCGGTCATGGCCGAGTTACTTAGATGGTTTTATTCCAGCAATCTGGCACTCCAAGCATCTTCATCCTAACCCTCAACAGCATGCAGATGCAGACGAGGGGTTCCCGAATGAGACCCTACTGGGGGAGTCTTCACCACCACGTATAACGAGCCAATAGGGCCAGCTACCCACTGGACGTTTACGGTATCGGTTATGCACAGCGCGGTTTATGTATGTGCACGAACCTTGTACAGCCTGGCACCGTACATTAAAATGGATGCAATTGTATGCACACAGCCATCTCGACGTGGCACTGGGGTATCGAGTACTCAGCCCTATCGAGTCTCTGCCCTTACATGATGATGTTGCTAGCTGTAGCTTCTTTTGTCTTGATGACCGAAGCCAACTAGTCATTCTTAACTTCTCGTCAATAGACCGCCTTCAACACGCATCGCATTGCTGACGATGGTGATATACGAAAGTAACCATCCATCGCAGGCTGCATGAGTTGTACAGGAGTAAGACGACGAAAGTATCAAACACCACAACAACCTCCTCCTCCCTGTGGCTACTTGACAGTTGGCCCCAGCCAGCCACGAATTAACCGTTTCGCTCTGACCTGTCTGTTTGCGGATGAGGACCCTGAATCTCATCTTCTCTCCCGTTTTACGACCGTGCATCGGGCGGCCGCTCCATTGCAGTCTGGTATCAGAAAGATATCTCAGACTGTGACTAGGTACCTTGCCGCATGGCTTCGGCTGTCTGAGTCGTGCCGTTGATGGCATGTGTTTCAAGGGTTGAATAAACCGCGACCACTCTCATCGATGGATAGGCGCGAATTCCGCTGTGAGCGGCTTTCCGCAGTCTTCATTTGCTTACGTAGCCGACATTCGCTCTTCCCACAGCCAATCCTAAGCCTCCCCTGCAGCGGCTATTCCCGTTCAGTCAGCGCGACCTCACACCTCCTAACCCCTGCTTGTGGGCTTGTGTTGTAGGTGGAGAAGACCCTGGGCATCATCCATCAAACAGCAGAGATCCGCCTTGGCGTTGTCCACACATTTTGGAGGTAAGCCACATCTTACTGTCTTGATGCTTCCCCTTAGCCCTTGCAATATTACCTCCGTTTCGTGACATGGAGGTTGTCATTCAATTAATACACTGAGGTTCTCGGCCGCCTGAGACCACAGCTTCCGTTCTGAACGCTACGAGTGGCGCCATTTTGAATGCCGGCAGTTGATAAAGGAGAATATTGTCGCTTGATTATAGCAGCAGGTTGAAACCGAGATTTTGGGCTTGGTTCGTCACGACGTCTACCGACCGAATAGCGAGGACACCACTACCCCAGGTTCGCCTTGTTGTTCTGCATAGGTACGAATTGATGCATTGAGAAACCATTGCCAATCAGAGCTGTTTCTTATTTTGAAACATTGACAGTATTCGGTTCTCAATGGGCTTCAACCAAGGTATGCATTGCAAAACACAGCCTTCACCGCGGTTCATGATACTGTTGCTCTGGCTTCATATGGACATCCACCTCCATTGGACGGTAGGATCAACACCTATCCAGTCCTAGTGGGGTGTGTTCCTCAATGGCGGGAAGCCCCGCCTAACGCTACAGGATGGGTGTGGCTGATGATATGGTTGATTGACGCTAATAATAATAAAAGGTCGCAGCACTAAAAGCCGGGCTCCTCCAGTCTCTGGGATCAGGCTGGCGCGTAGGGCTGAGCACAGGCAACCCAACAAGAACAAGTGTCCGTGGTACGTACTAGGTGTGATCTGCGTCAGAGATGGAACGGAACTCTCCTTGCAGTTACAGTCGAGGTCAAACCTTCAGTGAGTGATTCACTCAAGGCCCCCTGTAGCCTCAAGACTCAGACCGACGGCCAGACCAAGCGTCTCATGGCCTGTCATTGGATTCGATGCCAAGCCGCTCCCTAACCCACCCTTCAACCTTCCAATAGGTGCCCAGATTGGTAACGAGCGCGAATGCATCTGCAAGTTATCTCTGAATGGTTCTGTCTGTGCTGTCTCTTGAAACCATGGATACTGGACATTGTAGCATCACCGTCATCACCGCTACAATGGCTGGGATCCAATGGTGATGCCGCTTATTACCACCCACCTTAATATTGGTGAAGGTTTGTGAGTCGTCTTTTCATCAATCATATGTCGTCGTTGACGATGCCTCACACCTACCTAGCCATTGGACATACGATGGTTATCTGACATGCCGTGCCTCTCGGACTGTCCACTCGACACAGTCAATCTGCATTCCTCAGCTGGAGCAGAAACGGGTTTTCTTCCTAAAACAAAGATGCTGTGTCAGTTGAAGCGAGTGGAAGCAATGCTTGCATCGTCAGAGTGCTCGAATGAAATACGAAGCAGCGCTTGGAAAGTCAAGAAGAAAAAGCAAAACATGTTGATAAACATCATGAATGGAGATACCTACATGCAGTTACTCCACGGATCAAAGACCTCGGCACCCGCGCTGTCGCTGTTTGGTTCAGACTGCAGTGGTGTCCACATGGGCACCCGGTTCACATTCCAGCGGTCGGCCGCCCCAAGCAAATCTGTCTCTGAGACTCTGAGTTTCTGACCGTTGACCCTGTCTCTTTGGGAGTCTCTGATTGGTTATCATGATCCTTGTAAGTCGATAGAGTTGCCAAGCTCTCTCGGCTTCACCGATGCGCGATGCGAATAAACCACCAAATCTGACTCTCCCGCCGCCGCCATTTCCGTGGCCTACGCTCCGCTGTGTCCTCTTTTGGGGACTGGGTTCATCACGGGGTCCTCCATTCGGAATTGAGGGCCAAGTCTCTGCACCTGATTGCTTGCATCATGACCAAACATGACCCTGGCTTAGAGAACGGCCCCCACTGGACAAGCGAGACAGACACCAACAACACTCTCAAGTTCACCATCCTTCGGAACATTGATGCTACCTAATCTCAAAGATCTTTGGCTGTTGCTTTTTGGTAACTCGGAGTTTTTGGCTGGAAGCCCACCTATCCCACTACAGAATGTGTGGTTGAACCGTGGGTGAATCAACATGTGCTTACACGAGTGACCCAGTTCGAATTCAGATCACCATTCTCCCACCTACTATGTACAATGCACAGCATTCTTCCCTCGCCAATTTTGGTAATTTTATGCCATCATCGATATGTCGTATTGCTCGCGTTGTTGAATTGAGTAGTTTTGGCATTGGCATCGCTTCAATCATGGCCCCCGTCTCCAATCCATATCTCTCAGTAGCCTTGTCACTCAATATACCCATATTTACGAAGCACTACATTTGGACTCGTACCAACCATCCGCAAGGAACAACAATGTCGCACAAATAAATGTCTGGGCAATTGAATCCTACCGAGGCATTGACGCTGATCAATGCTTGTCCCCGGGGACATTCAACAGTCCGAGAGCTGTCAAACTGGACAAGATAGCCATAGCTTTTGGGTCAACAAGGCTGCCGTTGTGCCATCTATTGTCTCACAGACTAGACGCCAGAAATCAAGGACAGGCTTTGTCGATCACCCACAACCACCGTATTATACTGGATCGACCTGGCGTCTGATGGGCCACGCTCCACGGTATCACATACATATCCACATTCACTGTCGGACCGGATCATATCATGAAAGGCATCATAGACCTTCAGTATCCGATGGATGATCTTCAGGATCACCAGCAGATACCACCGTAATGCTTCCGCGTTTAGTTGCTATCGAAGCTGTTAGGCTATCATTGTCTCCTGGCGCTCCAATCTCATCTCGCATCTCATCTCCCAACAGAATCCTCTCCTGGGGGATGTAAAGGCGATGGAAAACTCCCACCGAGCTCGACCGCCCGCCACTCGGCGAGGAAATCATTTTCCAGCGCAGAAAGGCGTCCTCAAGACAATGACAACGCAAACGAACTCCACCGTCCTGCATGGCCCGTGTGGAGGCCTAGTGTCCATTGCGTGAAACACTCAGAGATACCGGTAGAGGTTGAAGCGCTTGAACTTCTTCTCCTTCGCCGGCAGACTAGCAGTGGTCTAGGCATTAATCTCTCCAAGGAACAGCCTTGTAAAGGCGAGGACGCGGAGGCAATTTGGTTCCAAACTTCCAACTGTGGTAGCCTTACGCGAGCGCCACCAGTCTAACACACAGACTAGGTCAATACTAACGACCGGTAAATAACGCGATCGCGGCCTAGAACAAGGAGGAGAAGGGAAGAAACAACGGCAGTTTTTTACATGGATCAAAGTACACAGGTACTGACGTTGAGCCGCCGTTGTCGCTCGATATTGAGGGCATATCGCGGTCCAGATTCGTTAGAGACACTGCTTCCCAGATGGTGGTCATATCCTCGGAATATTGAAATTGGCTTAATTGATGCAGGTGAGCGTCGATGTCACTCTACCTTTATCATTGTTCGCACTCTAGACTTTAGGGACGGCACTTGGAGCCAGCGGCCTGGACGCCATTCAGCCACATCCAGACTGTCGGACTGAGTTATTGAAGCTAAAAGTGCTCATGATGGGCTACTTGTGAATCAATGACCCGACTATTTGGTTACTGGAAGATGTACGAACCTACTGTGCGATGCCATGAACTTTCCATTTTTGCTGTTGCACAACGTATGATGTCGAAATCAGCGGTGTTGATTCATGTTGTTGATTCAAGTTCAGTTGTCATCAAAGCACAATTAATATCACGCACATCTTATAGGCACCACGAGACAGACAGCTTGATCCTGGGGTATAGTAGGGACTGTTAAGGTACTGGATCCCAGTGCGCGGGGCATTGGCTTACATAGATGTTGAGAACCCAATCTCAATGTGACGTGCAGACTATTTTGGCGAGAACAGATTCCCGTCTGAGATGGCGAGTGTAGCGTGGGAAACGACAATCCAGGTGCTGGGAAGTTCCCTGTGGTCTTTTAGCATTGGCTGGGTTCGCAAATCGCAAGTCAAAGAGGCGTGCGGATCAATAAAAATCAATATTCCCGTGGTTTCACATCGTCACATCGATAAAATTCAGAAAGTGAGAGTGACCCGACACAATGGATTGATGCGCGCCTTGCCGCTTGTGAGCCGCGCCCCTGTCAATATTGGACATAGACTGGACAAGGCTTGAGATGCCCTATGCCCTCGTCCCTCGAGCATCTTGGGCCACGTGTGGGAGTCGTGATTGAAACTGGCAAGGGGGGATAAGAGGGGGAAAGGGAAACAAGAGAGAGGCTCGTTAATAACCCCTGCTTTGCCCTATCCTGCCCCGTCTTGCCCCTCGACCTGGCCCTGTCGTTGGGAGTCCCGACGCCGACGCTTTTCGGGAGGGTTCAGAAGGCAATGCAATACATCTGCAATGTATCGTGCGTAGTCCGATATAATTCATCATGATGTTACTCTGATCCTGGAGCTTGTCATGGTTGGACGGACCCAGAAAACCAAGACAACAAGACAAACCAATATGTATGTATGCGTGTGACTACTTCGGACTGTCATGCATCCGAGATTATTGCTGCAGGTCGACATTCTAATTCTGGGTATGTTTGGCTCATAGTCACTGCACTGTCTGTACTACCAACGTAGACGTACAAGTCTATCCTAGCCTTTCCTGCAACCTAAGGTAGGTGAATGGTACCACTCATATTCTCCCCGGTCGAATCGCACGCCTCGCTCCCAGACTCGTGGTGTTCCGGTTGCCTTTTTTGCTTGCCAGATCGCCAAATTCGCCTTGTGCTACCCCAATGTCGGTCGAGGGCTTTCTCAAAGGAGGGAGGGTGTGGATGCTGCATCCAGAGCGATCCCATATCAAGAGCACTTGCAGTTACACTGCTGAGTGATTCATAGTTGTCATTGCCATTCTCAACTGTCTACCGAGTGCCGATACGGTCATTGTGAACCCCACGGCTAGGCTTTCTCGCCAGCGATCAGTGAGTGAGTGAGTGAGCAAGTCTGCCTACCTACCTTATCCATACTCGGCATGACGCAAGGGGAGCCTTGTTCTGATCTGATAGACATGGGTGAGACTCCTTCGGGATGTTGTATCGCGAAGATGGGGAACGGCCCAGTTCCGTCTGTTTTGCCCTGCCAGAGAGTAAAATACTACTCTGATCAGCAAACCCATGGGCCATCAGGAGATTTCCGCACCACCAGATCGACATTGGTTATGGAGACTCGTGCTCTTTTCCATAATAGAACACACAATGCGCAGTTGACGGAGAGTTTGGCTAACAGGCTCTCGCTTGTACAGTATCAATGAGACGAGTATCCATCGTGAGTGCTACCAAGTCAACATGACCTTCAGAACGAGTTGGGAAAGCGAGCGTCTAACTAGGATCATACGCGGGGTTTATTGAAGTCTGATTTAACTTAGATCACCTTATCTGAGCCATTCGAATCACTCTGACGTGGCGAGTAACGACTACATAGTACCTATTCACTAGACGCCGTTGGAAAGTGCAAGTCCAGACTCGATGGCGATCTACTGTAGGTTTAGTGCCTTGCAATGTCTCAGGTGCACTATACTGTGCAAGCTCTTCTGGGGGTTGATGATTTTACGTTTTGGCCACGGGAAGCTCCTTTGGACCTTTGGTTTTAGTGTGCTTGTCGAGCTTTGACGAACCAGAGTCGAGCAGTAGCAGATCAGTAAACCGTGGCGTACCCGAATTAGGCCTTGGGTGGCCTCGATTACAGTTGAGAGCGGCATTGGAGATTGATCGACTTTCCACTGCCCGACCCCTCCTACGGACACAAACGCCCCGACCATGCTCCCTGGCTCACAACCTAAAGCCAATCTTTAGGGGCGGGTTGCGACCCTTGCTTTGGCGCGTGACAGCGGACTTGGAGACTTGGCTATGCTGGCTCCGGGCGCGGACTCGCCTAAACGCGGAATGGCTTCCGTCTTCCAACTTGAACTCGCCAAAGAGCAACGGGGGCCGGCCTCTTGGCAGACTAGGCGCCGTTTGGACATGAAACAATAGGTTGCGGAGTTTTTTAGGCCGTGTAAACAGCCTCTTTCGAAATAGCAGAGGATGAGGCTCTGTCTATCACTCACAATAAGATCCAATCTAATGTTGGTGATCGACAACGCATGTTTAAGACATACTAAGTTCTATGTGGTGATTATAAGCTCTCAGCCACAGGTTCATAAACAAAGCATCACTATTTGTTTCAATGATACGTGACCGTGACTGTAATTCTGAAATGCCTTTCGAGGTTCGGAGTGGTACTAGTTGTTGGTTGGCATGTGCCAAGTTGTGATCTCCTGCTATGAATCTGACCTAGTTTAGGGTAAGCCCAAGGCCTCGAGATCCAAATCATCTATACATTCGCAACTTCACTTCTCCAGCCCCATCCCCCAATGGCGTTCTCCTCGAGCTTCTTCATTCCTGAAGCTTCACAAATCTTGATGACTACATCCCTCACGGCTCTCACTTCATCTACACTGGCACCTCCATTGAGTGCACCCCGCAAATGTCCCTTGAGTTGAGGGTTCACCTTTGAAACTTGGCATCAGCATTGCACATAGGTAGCCTTAGTGCGGCCCAGTGGCTGCTCAAAAAAAAGAAGAAAAAAAAAAGCCTACTTACATCTTGGGGAATGAGACTTGCGATGAGTACGAACGAGGTTTCGGCCGGTGTAAGCACATCAGTGTTACTGAGTACATACCCATATGTCAACCTCGCCAGCAAGCCCAAGTCTGATGCACCTGACCGGTCTAGTTGACCCATTATACGTCTGGAAATTTTGCCATATATGGCTTCGAAGAAGTATTGCCCTCGCTCGAGCACGTGCGCTGGTGCAGTATCGTATATGTCCTTATGTCTAGATGTTGTACCCGTTCCCGGTTCGTCTAGTAGATCTTCAGGGGTCGCGGACTTCAGAGACATCAGAGCATTAATCGACTATCAGAAAATATCAGCATCGAGGTGAGTTCATCATACTTGTGGCCCGCGAACCTTGGGCATGCCGCCAACGGCAGAAGCTTTCAGGAGGGCTTCTCTGAGACGTCTAGAGATGCGCAACTGATCGTCCCGGCTCGGAACACCGTTCCCAGTAGTGTCTGGACAGTCTCCTATGGCATCCTTGAAAACCTTTGGCAGCTCGTCCGGCCTATTGAGGGCCGACAAAGTGGTAGCAGTGATAAAGTACCATGTATTACAAGGTAGATTTGGTTGCTTTCGAATCGCTGCAAGCAATGCTGGCGTGAGGATGGGTGACATTGCTGTCATGATGGCACGAGATGTCTAGGAATTGACCTACAATAATATCAAGCTCAATTGCATCGCTGCATTGGCTCAACATCGCGATATTTATATAACCTTAGTCTCACTAAGCTGATAATTCGTCTAGCTTTAGGGTAGCCACTTTTGACCAGCCATTCGTGCCCCTGGTATTATCATTAACTGACGGGGAAATATCGGCACTACAGCACCTTCTCACGTCAGAGCAGAATCACGTGCGTCGGCTCGGCCCCTGCGTCATCGGTCGTGTGTCGCTCTGCTTAACGTGGCATCAAGTCGTTCGGCTGTTCTTTGATACAGTAAGGTAATTACAGCACATTCACCAAAAGTTATATATACGAATTCAACTCAGCCATGGGGATGGACGAGTGATTGGTTACTTTTTTCCATTTTAACAAGTACCCAATTTATTACTCATCGTTCAACTCCCATGCCCAAGATGCGACTTGGCTGGTATGCTGGGGTAAGTATTGCTGTGGTGGGAGAGCTCGGGGAAGCTATATGGAGCTATAGCTGATCACTCTGGACCAATGCTGACATTTTGCTTCAAAGGCCTCGACGGCCCTCGCGGGCGGCGTTATCCTCTCGGCCTTCTATCAGAGGGCCAACTTTTACTCGGCAATGGTATATCTCGCCCAGAGCAACTTTTGTTTGTTGGTACGTTATCCCGCGCGATCCTGGCACCGGAGTTATTGCGAGATGCTAAACTCATCATGTCCAGGTCCTGGTCAACTTTTCCTTCCTTGTCTACAGTAGCTTCGTTTACGGTCTTACACGGATGTTCTTTGGCCCTCTGCGCGCCGTCGAAGTCGAGCAACTAACGGAACGTGCCTGGTTTGCGATCACAGAGACATGTTTAGCAATGACCATATTCCGCGAAGAGATAGGAGCCTGGTTCCTGGTCATGTTTGCAGCTCTGGTGACAGGTAAGGTGTGGGGATGGATTGGTGATGGGAGAGTTGAGGTTCTCGAGCAACAACCGCCTGCGAACCCCCGCTTGTTCCATTTGCGACTCAGTGTGTCGCTCACGCTAAGCTTCATCTACGATATCTATATCCTCCGATACACGATCAATACCGTTATCCAACAAGCACGTCCCAACATGATGGTCATGTTTCTCTTCGAGTTCGCAGTCTTGGCAACCAGTTCATGGCGGACGGCAGCCCGGTATGCGCTGTCATTGACAGAACAGAATATCCAGGAAGCGCAGAAACGTAAGCGACTGGCCGAAAGGAGACAAGAGGTCAGACAGGAGCGGGAGGCTATCATTCGACGGCGTGAAATAGCGGCTGCCGCTGGTGAAGAAATTTCTGACGAGCCACTGCCCAACGAGGACGATATCGATGAAATGGATATTGAAGTACCAGGTTGGTCTGCAAAGGGAGAGTTTGTCCTCTGGCTGGACCTTATCACAGGTATGTTGAAGCAGAATGGCTTGGAGGGGCACTACTGACATCGACAGACTTGGTTAAACTTGGTATCTACATCGTATTCTTCTTCATGCTTCTGGCTTTCTATGGACTGCCCATTCATATTATGAGGGATCTCTTTATGACAGCCCGGGATTTCATTAAGCGCTTGGGTGCCTTATTGCGATATCGAAAAGCCATCCAAGAGATGAATCGTTATCCCGATGCAACCCAGGAAGAACTTGAACGGGAGGATACCTGCATTATCTGCCGCGAGGAGATGCGACCATGGGATCCAGAGAACAACCCAGGCGCAATGGATCGAATTCGACCCAAGAAGCTACCTTGCGGACACATTTTGCATCTCGGCTGCCTCAAGAGCTGGCTCGAGCGACAGCAGGTTTGCCCTACTTGTCGAAGCCCTGTTACTCTTGGCGAGACGGCTCCTCGTGCCGGTCAGAACCGGGCTGCTGGTCTTCGAATTGAGCTTGGAGGCAGGCGTCCGGCGAACCAACCAGCAGCAAACCCCGGGGATGCTCCCGCTCAGGGGCAACAGAACGGAGGAGCACAACCTGAACAACGGCCAGGTGGTGCGCGTATCTTCAATATTGGCCCTCTTCGAGTGGGATTTGGCGCCAACGGACAGCAAGTCAGAGAACTTGCGCAGCAATTCGGTGTGCCACCAGCTGTTCCCAACCCTCAGGGGCTGGTTCCCCCCACGCCAGGCGCTGGTACCCCTATTGCTGCTGGTCAGACTGCTCCAGCGACTCCTCTGCCCACCGGAGATAACTTGCAGAATGTTGGAAACTTGATCAGTCAAGCAGACCAGCTGATCCAGCGCGAGATGCAATCGTTGCAGTTCGCGCATCAGGAACTACAAACCATTCATCTCCTCCAGGCAGAGTTATACCGTCTCAGACAGAGACAGCAACATCCAGAACAACAACCAAATATACATACACAGGCTATACCGCCTACTGCGGTACCTCTCCCCCAACCTCTAATTCCCCAGCAATTTCCTATGACACCTCAGATGTCTATGCCCCCAGGTTTCCCTCAATTCCCAGGCATACCTCCGCGACACCCTAGCCCCCTTATGGCTCGCCATGGTGCTCCCCTCAACGCTGTACCTATCCCCGCTGGAAGTGCTGAGCTTCCAGAAGGCGTTGTTATCCCGCCTGGCTGGTCTCTGCTTCCGCTACAGCGGCTTGATGGCGGCCAAGCCTCGACACAACCTTCGCCGCAGGTTGGCCCTCAGGCAACTGTTGCAGATAACATTAATGTACCTCAGCCAACGTCTACTGTTAGGCAACCCTCGCCAATTGGTAGCCGTAACCAGGAAGCTCAATCCGTTGAGAACGCCTCTTCTACTACTCCAACTGAACAGCGACCCCCTCAACTCACACCCCAGTTCACACGGGCGGTGGAGCCATCCCATGTTGTTGCACCTAGCCCTCGCATGCCCAATTGGGGCGGATCCGCTCAACTGTTTGGCAACGGATCTCGCCTGGACCATACCGACCCTGTAACGCATAATGAGCCTCAGGTCGAAGGAAGCTCAAGCCAAACTGGCCCTGTTGAGGCCACGTCCCAGCCGAGTCCAACAGCGGAACATACACCGCAAGGAACTCCAACATCCCATAGTGATGAAGATGAAGCATCTGGGATTAACTCAAAGGAGAAGGGCAAGGCGAGAGCCGTAACTGTCGAGGAGGTTGAGGATGAGGAAAATTTTAAGGACACAATAAACAAGGACTAGTTGTGCCTTGGGTACCAATAGGCACTCTATGCATGTATCATATTATGCACCCATCTCTGTTGGTCTAGTAAAGACCAAGACTGCATTTGTATTTCCCGGTTGCTAGCGGCATGGAGTTCTCAGGAGTTGTACTATTTGTTCGTCTCAATGGCATGCATGACAGAGGAGCTAAAACCCGAAATATAAATTTGTTGAAGCCAGTATTATACATCTGAAACTTGGCGTGCATGCAGGTACCCAAAGCAATCTGTAACTATACAAGTATCCGTAATCCGGAAAACACCGTTCCATGATGAATGAGACCAGTCAAGGCACGCTGATGAATGGGTGCAGAGCATTGGTGAATCGAAAGCGTGCAAAACATGAACATAGCAATAAAATACGAACGCAACGAGATATGTAAGAATGTAAGAGACAAAAGAGCATATGGGTGAATCCAAAGACGATTCAGAGGTAATTTCCTACACTTTAACGACACCTTAAAGGCGCTGCCATAGTGTCCATATTCCAACAAAAATACATCCTCCTCTCTCTTCCTCTGCCATTGGCGGGAATCCTCGAAGCTTGTTGACGATGTGGCATAAGGGAACCAAAATAACAATGACAAACAAAGAAAAGTTGACCCGCGTCCATGCTGCACATACCCAAGAGCCCCTCGTCGTACCTGTATCTATTACCATGTCCGTTCATAGCCATGAAACGGTAACGCATCAATCATTCCTTCTTGACTCTTCCCATCTCATTTGTCGTAGTGGGTAACGATAAAAGATTCGATATCTTTCCCCTGTTTAATGGAGGTAGCTGGTGCCCAGATGGCCTGCTATGCGTTGAGAGCATCTAGCTCCTCCTCCTTAGGTGGGAGCGGTGTCTCAAACTGCGGTATATCTTCATCCTTCTCCCAGGCAGCGCCAGGTCCGGCATAGCTCGGTTCGAGAATCGTAGTCGATTGCGAAGTTGATTCAGGTTCGAGACGGCCACTGCTCATGTCACGCAAGATGCCTGCCGACCTTTTGCCTTTTACCGGCTGCGGGCTGAGCACACCTGCGGCGGACTGCGCGACATAAGTAGGTGACTTGACATCACCTGAACCAAAAGGCAATGAGCGTGTTGGAATATCTCGACTCACTCCTCCTTCTCGACCCTCGTCCCCTTCGCCACCGAGCTTCTTTAACAACGCATCCGATTGCTGCTTAGCAAGCTTCTGGAGCTGTGCTAGCGGATCCTGGTGATGCAGCACCAAGTCAGTCACCTCGCACAGGCAGTCCGCGGGTCTCCAACGTCTCCCATGCACACATACCCAGTCAGACTGCGTAGGCACGCCTTCAGCCTCAGGAAGCTTCTTTGCTGCTTCGTCCTCGTGTTCCCCGTCGTCTCCTGCCCAGAATGAGTGCCGTTGAATAGGGGCCGGGGTGACCGGCAAGCTGGGGCGCTCTGCAGCGCTAGGGAAATCGGTGAGCTTCAGGCCGCGGTTCTTAAAGTTGCTCCGATCGTCTCTCCATGTACCAGTTGATGGGCTCCTTACGCGCCCTATCGTAGATGTCGAACTCTTACCACGTCGGTGACCACCATGTAGGCGGTCAACGTACCGCTCGATCTCAGGCACCTCATCCCATGCATTTGTGCGTGTGTATGACGTCCAAGGGTCTGATGGAGTAATCTGTACTATCGGAGTAGATGCACTCGACTCGTTCTTCGCCCCAGATCCCGATGTTGCCACCTCGGAAGGCTCTGTAAGACCTTCAGTTTTCACTGAAAGCTGCGTTGTAGACCCCGTGCTAGGGTCTGAGCCGGACTCTCCAGGGGTAGGCTCCGGTTCAGGCACTGGTTCTGGTTCCCCAATAAACGATCTGGTTGGACGAGGTCGGTTGCGTTCCCACGGGAAGATCTCCGGAGCTGGCTTTGATCGAGGAGCTGGCTTCTCCTTCGGTACTTCATACCACATGTTCTTTGGTGGACTTGGGTATCGTTCAGGCGGGATAAATGGGGCTGTATCGCGTGACATTTCGTAGTGAGTGGAAGGAAAATTCATAGCTTCGGGTTTCGAATCAGCAGGAGGGGGATGTCTGGCAAAGTCAGTATCTCATGTCCGATTAAGCACAATACTTTCAACGACGATAGGCCTACCTCTGAGCATCCCAATCATGCATCGTAATCGGGGGTGGCTCGTTCTTTGGTTCTTCGTGGTGATGGTGCTGATGTTCAGAAGCGTGTTGTCCGTGGTGTTGTTCATGGTGTTGGCCAGGAGCTGAGACAGGCTGACCACTAGGGGGTGCAGAATGGTGATCGTGATGAACCGAACCAGAATCTGATCTATCATGAGATCCTCCGCCATGGTGCGATCCTTCATGGTGCCTAGATCCTTTCGAGTGCTGCTGGTGTCCTGCGCCTCGCTCCCCCTGAGATTCATGGTGTTCGTGACCTGGAGCCGAATGATGCGTACCCTCAGCTACACTGGAGCTGTGATCGTGATGGTCACTGGTAGAAGACTGCGCATGGGCCGGTTGAGGGTGCCATTCTCCTTTTGTGAAGTATTGGACATACTGGGGAGTTGAAGAGGCATTGTCGGGAGAAGATTCCTATAAAATGAGTCAGACATACAAGTATCTGCCTGCAGAATAATTGAGCTTACCTGATGTCGGTAATGCCTGTCGTAGACTGCCCACCATCGTCCAGTCATCTCACTGAAGGGATTATTGCTAGAAGGGGCGTCTCGACCAGTAAACCATGGCTTGTTGGATCCGATGAAATGCACCATATTAATACTTGACTGGAAGTGTCGGTACGCGGGGACGTATTGGTAGTGTGCAGATGGTGTGACGTTGTAAGTGAAGCTCAATCGATGATACCGTTGACCAAAATGCATGTTGATGAGACCTTGGTCGGCGCCATCAAACGAAATTCCTCTCTCCGCCATGGCAATCATGGCGTAGTAGTCGCCCATATTGGGTTCTAAAACCATGACACCGGTGTTGAACAGATCTGGCCAGCCGATGTCGGGGGCAGCTGCGAAGGGATGAGGTGTGTCGAAAAGCTCGTCAGGAGCTCGATATGCGACCACATCAGCGTCGATGTAGACAATCTTGGAAAACTGTGTGAGTTTCCATAGATTGATCTTGGTAAACGCTGAATGCAGGTCGCCACGGTTCATTAGGTACAGATTGGCCGGGTGGTCATTGCGAATGCGCGGCACAGGGAAGATGTAGTCGTAGACCCGCTGGAGCAATCGAATTAGCATCGGCCGGCTCAATGATGCGCATACACTCAGGAGGGCTTACCTTGAGCTGTGTAATGGAGTCAGCGGACACGGTATCGAGTGTGACCAGCACTGCCAGCTTGCGATGGGCTCCCGCATCGCGAAGAGAGTGAGCGAGAACGAGTGCGCCTGGAGAGGAATTAGCCGAGGTGTGATAAAGCAGCAAAGTCAATTGGCGAACCAGGAAGATAGGAATCGCTTAGAAGAAGCTATTTGCACGTTAGAAAGAGAACATCGACAAGGTCAGGCAGAGAGAGGACGAACCGTGGCATAAACATGCTCTCCAGCACCTTGAGCAGCCATGGCGACGTAGGACAGGAGTAGTTGACCAGCTGTTAGACGAACCTCGGCGCAGATTGTCCAGGTCAGCTACAACAAGTTGAAGAGGTCGGTCAGCAACCCATGGATGAAAGTTCAAGAGAAGTCGTAATATTGCGATCGATTTGAAGAGGCGCGTTCGTCGAGGCGAGGGGTCCAAGTCCAAGTCAACAAGAAGGAAGAGAAAGCTCGCTTGGATCTAGCAAGGATGCTGTGCGTTAGTACAGACAGAGTACGCAAGGTAAGGTACTGTAGTGTATCCTTAGTGTACACTGGGTTTTGAAACAATACAAGAATCTCTAGTAACCTATATCCCTCTTTTGTCTGGAGCCAAAAGATGAGGAGAGAGTTGGAGGAGGAGGAGAGGGGAAGGGGCAGGAGAGGAGAGGAGAGGAGAGACAAGTGAAGTCAAAGTCAGGCGTGACGTGAGAATGGCAGCAACAGCACTATTTGGGGAGGTACTCGAGGTAGATCCAATGGATCCAATTGATGTGATGATTCGATGATGGCCCCGGACGATTTTGGAGGGGGAACCTGCTAATCCATGGAAAGTACCTTAGCTCACCTGGGGCCAGACTCTAGCTCCTGTGGGTCAGGTCACCTAACTCTTCAACTATCCATCACCTGTGAGGCACTATCAACGGGCACGGATGAACGTCAAACAGCTCCCTGTAAAGTTAGGTTCACCCGAGATGGCCGGCCGTTTACCAGCACCTCAGATCATCAACAGCAAGTAACCTAAAAAACCTCCCTCTTTTCGTTCAAGTTACACCTGAAGTGAGTCCTTGGGGTCTGACCCTTCAGGTACTAAACTCTACTTCAAGCCACAGTGACCCTGAGGAAATTTGCTGTTCTAGAAGCGCCGAGGCCAGACACTCACTCTATTTTCTGCCGTTCAAGGGCAACACCAACACAAACACTACATATATCAGTGTCCTAAAAGTAACCCAATTGCTGTTGAATGGTCCCCCCACGTTCGTACAAAAGAAATTGAAGGTTCACTGCCTCCAATTACACAGAACCTGGGACCGGTTTAGTGTTCCCTACGAGCCTGAGCCTGTCCAGGATCCTGCTGCACAGCCTGAGGCCCAGGGAATGCATATCCGTATTTCGGGGCGGGTTTCCGCTGGTGGCGGCTCTAGTGAATCGCCACTAATTTCAACGGCTGCACGATGATGGAATTGCTGTGAGCTTAGCTTAGCTCTCAGGTACCTTACCTACCTCAGGTGGCTTCAACCTCATCACTTCTTGGCCAGGTCCTTTTTAGCTGATGATATCCACAAAGCATAACACCTCAAGGTTTTCTTACAGCTTTTAACGTCTTCAATTCTCGTATCATCAAAATTTCAGGGATGAACTTGGAACGGGCTTCTGCATACAGCCCGAACTGGACATGTTCCCCCTTGTAAGTTGCTGCGAGTATGCGACGCACCGTTGAGATACGTGCATCTAGGTAATCTCAACCATTCCAGGCTGGTCCCCTTGAGATAATAAAAAGCTCAACATAAGAATTGTTTATCTGCACGAAAAATCTCGCTCTGCCCGTGCCGCAGGACCCCTTTTCTGTCCCTTGAGCCATTATAAAGACATTCAAATCTCCCTAGCCCGTGCCAGATGCCAGTCTCTAAAAAAGTTGTATAAGTGACGTAGATTTTTTTAGCTTATTAGCTTGTCTTGCAGATCAGTCTGTGTGCCACTCGGACATGGCGCACCGAGACATCTGTAAGATCGGGACAAAGACACGCGAGGCGAGTAGAAACCGTTCATGCCAGTGTGTCTCACTTCACTTCATATCTCAAATTTGACAGATAAAAATTACTAGAGAAAAAAAGAGCCCCTTGTGTGTTCTCCAGATCTTAGCGTTTCTGAAATGCCAGCATCTGCATTAGCTCGCCTCGACCTGGTTTAATCGTGCTATCAGCTTGATGTATATGCATCACACGCTCTCACTTGCATAGTCCACGTGAGCCATTGTTGCATTATGATGCTTTTGCTTCTACCCAAAAACCAACTAAGATATGATTTGCACCATCACTCCCCGCTGCCCATTCGAGTCTCGTCATCACATCTTCAGCCTCCCTCAAGAACAAATGTTCCCGGTTCCTTAATCGTGTATCCGAGTATGGCATTTAACTCACTTGTCTTACTAAATAAACTCCAAACCCCTCCCCAGCCGCTCAAAATGCCTTTCATGGCCCCGAACTCCCCTGAAAACACATTCCGTAGCTAGACCTACATATCCTTCTTAAATGCGTGTTCTGGTTTGTGTGTCGTCTCGTAGTCAATGTGGACATATGCTCGCTCAATGTCTGGCAGATCCTCCAGCTTGATCTGCAGCGCCTCTGCTATATCATGGCTTTCTTGGAGTGTTTGTGTCGGGTCCATAACAATGTCCACTTCGGCGATCAGACGAGGGCCCGAGTGATACACACGTACGGTATCGATGCCAACGATTGCGTCGTCATGTGTAACACACACATATGTGATGAGCTGCTGCGTTTCGACAGATGCAGTAACTCCGACGACGAGCAGAAATTCGCCGAAGGCGGTGTGCAACCAGATGCAAGAGATAAGAACAGACAGAAGGATAGCGCCCATGGAGTCAATCCAGCCTTTCAACTTCGCACCGCCACAGGATGTCAGGATACCAAAGCCATTGATGAGAAGATCGTTGCGGTGGTCTTGCCAAAGAATGTTGACCTGGCTATACTTGTCCTTGAGTGCCCAGCAGTAGAGAAAGAGTGCTAACTTGGTCAGGAAAGCACAGCAGACTGAGATGACTGCAGGGAGGTGAAATTTCTTGTCTTGTTCATTCTTGACCAGTTCTTGGCAAGCAAAAGCAATGATGATGAGTGAGACAGCGATCATGAGAAAGCAGAAGACAATATTGCCTATAGTCTCGAGACGAGCTTTACCGGCAGGAAAACGCCGAGAATCGACATGACGAATGGCTCGAGCCGACAAAATGAGGGTGAGGTTACTAAGAGGGTCGAATATGGAGTCGGCCATGGTGGTAAAGAGCGAGAGTGACCCTGAAGAGATGGCAGCGTAGAGCTGAACTGCTGACAAGGCAACATTGGCTGCGAAAGAGCCCCAGACAGCAATGCGAAACTTGACTTGATCTTCTCCATGCTGGTCGCGGGCTTCGTCACGATGTTCCTCAACCGACTTGAGCATGCGATCAATTGCCGCATTTTGATTCTTGTAGAAGCCCTGCAGCTTGCGAGCCTTGATCTTGGAGCCGGCCTTGCTGGGAACACATTTACGGCCAGGGAGGCTATCGCGCTTCCGTGAAGTGTTGGCCTTGATCTCTTCCAGATCAGACTCGGTCTTGTACCCGCGGGAGAGACCATATGGATCATGATCAAGGCAGCTGGGTTGTCGACGACCAGTGGCGGTGAGTTGGCTTTCGACATCAGTCATATGAGATACGTTTCTAGCGATAGTCTCATTATCGTCAGCCATCGCAGGCTCGAATGCTGTGCTTGAGCCATTGCGGGTGGTTGAATGTCGTGAACTGCTGCGGGCACGTTCGAGAGATTGTAGGTGAAATGCCTGTGAGTGGTGGGCGACGTGGTTGTTGTTATCAGGTGACATGATAGACGACTGCCGCTTCTATAACGAAAGAGATAGAATGCGACAGTTCGGGTGATCAGTCTCTTGATGGGGTATATCAGAGAATCATATAAGCAATAGCGATGCTGGTAATTGTGCAAGATAGCTGGTTTGATGGGTAAGCAATCAAAGTAGATGGGAGAGCAAGAATGAGGCCTCGAGCGGCGTTGATCTCCAGAGTCACCTCAACACTCAAGAGTCAGCTAGTGCTGTACAATGAGATCGAGTGATCGTCGGGAAGATCAAGGTCAAGTCAATCGCTCGGTCTTGCACCAATGATAATTTGAGTTAATGATATCAGTATGGATATGTGATAGAAGCACAGCGAAAGGATCGATCAATTAAGAAAAGAGGTGGATATGAACAGTTCGTAAGTTAACTGACAAACCAGTCATCTTCCCACGTTGGACTCACTCCAAAAGAAGAGGAGCATAGAGGAAACGTCTTTAATTGTCCATCTCGTCTGTTGGTGGATTACCATTTCAAAGACGCTGATAGGTAAGGGACAGGAGTGTGCTAGCAATGGATATCCATTCCTTTCTTTACAGCACATAAATCCGTTGGCTGCAGCGATAGAGCAGCGCCTGGGCTATTAAAAGACCAACTGGGGTTAGTGAGTCGAGTTCCCCGCGCGAGCCGAAATGGCCCAACGGAGCATCGTTTCCGCGTCGTCGTGTGAGGTTTGAGGCCGCGGCGATGAATTCATGCAATGAGGTTGAAGCAGAAGTCGAAATCGAGTGCGCGAGACGTTGAATTATAGTTCAGATACGGCCCCGAAACGTCTAGGAAACAGCCGGAGCTGGTTTCGGGGTTCCGTGGCTTTTAACCTCTAAGAGCATCTGTTTCTCGGGCGTCTACGGAGCTAGGATACGGAACATGGGTCTGCCTTGACCCGCCGACGTATGCGTCTCCATGGAGGACTTTATGCCAAGACTGCAAAAGCTGAAATTAGTGATCAATCAAGTCAATCTCTTGGCTTTGGTTGGCAAGCTGTAACCGCTTCTGTCCTGCCAAGAGATAAGCGGTGATGTTGTACAGCCAGCCACACAAAGCATAGCATATAGGTACTGCACAATTGTTGGTTGGCATCCAATATTATATAAATACTAGCATGATCTCGCTATTTGCTAAAAGCTGAAAAAAATTACAATAACATCGAATGATGTTGATCATCTCGAAAACAAGAGAGCTTGAATCCCGTGATACTCGCGCATCCACAAGTCCTCTACAGCTACACTATAGCTTGGCCTCGATCGGTTTCTGGTCTTGACTTCTCTCCAAGATCCAGTCAGTGATATCTTTGGCATATTCCTCCTGGCACAGGTCTACATGTAGCGCATGATAACCTCCCACGTATGTCTTGACCACCTTGTCCTCGATATCTTGCCTCTCTGCGAAATCTATGGCCGCTTGATAGCTGCACGCTTTATCGTGGTCTCCATGGCCAAGCCAAAGCGACTTGACCTCTTTACCCAGCTTCACGGAACCCGATTGAAGAGCTCCCGTGCGATCAAGGAGTGATGCCAACCCTTCGAGTGTGCCTGTGTCGTGGCACAGAGGATCCTCTTTGAAACCCTTGGCCACCTCTGGTTTTCGCGTCAAGTTGGCAACATCGAGTACGTGTTTAAGCTGAAACCGGGGGAGAATTTTACAGGCTAGTCGTCCTGCAAAGATCTTGAACGAACTTGGGACTTCCTCAGGGGCGAACCCGATGAATGGTGCCTCGAGCAGAAAGCCACGCACTTGGCTCACGAGTTTGGCATACTGAGGGTCAGCTGCAAGCGTGATGACCTCGCCGCCGCCCATAGAGTGGCCCAGGACAAAGACCGGGACATCCGAAGGCAGTTTGCTCTCAATGAAGGCGGCGATATCCGCAATAACGCGTGATGTTGGGCCTGTATTTCCCTTGTCGGATGGCTGCTTCACGCTTCGGCCCCAACCTCTTTGATCGAAACCAAAGACTTGAATGCCATTCGAGGCTAGAATTCGATATACGTCATTGTACCAATTGACATGATCGCTGAAGCCATGGACATGCACTAACTTTGCCTTGATGGGGCCTTGAGGCTGTTGACGCATCAGTTGATGCTTACTTATTCAAGCTGATCATCACTGGTACTCACAGTCCAGGTCTTAGTATACAGGCTGGCATCTGCCACCTCGAAAGTTCCCTCGGTCTCGGTCGACATTGCGTTTGAAGGTAGATGCTTAAGGACCAGAAAGACAGAAAATTAAAGGGTACCAAACAAGTTGAAGGTTGTAAGTCTCGACTCAGACGTGAAAACACTATTTTTTGGTATGATAAAGTGATTAACAGACCAGGCCATGAAGAATCAGGACCTTGAGGTGGTCATGCTTTGAGCCAGACTGGGTCACATGTGACAAACCCGTTACCGAGAGCTTAACCTGGAGTTGGTCTCATTGGTCTCTATTCCCTAATCTCGACGAGGCTTGGTTGGTGCGACAAGGGACATTCTGGCTTCGTTTTTACTTCTCTAGCTGCTCGATTGTGGAAATTGCTTATATTTTATTCTGTATCTTTTTGTGACGCTGACTTTGGGTTGGTATGTTTCAATCCACAGCAGCTTCACGATGAGATTCCAAAAGAAGGAAATGTCATGTTTGATTTGAAATTGATGTGAGATGAGACTTGGCGCATTTATATGAGTTGAGACAGGTTCTCTTTTTGAGAAGCATGAGTACATGGACTGCGACTCGAAAGATGTGAGCATAATGACGGACCAAGGACGCATTGTATCAATCCCAAGATGGAACATCTTCTCTTATTAGCTCAAACTTTGTGTGTTACTACGAAGCTTGAGACCTTCCAAAACTCGAGGCTCACAGTGTACCACAAGGTTGATAAAAATGAGATTCTTTTCTATACACGGCTGTCCATACCCCTACCACCCGTTTTCCATTTTGGAGATTAAATAACCAGACCGGACCGACGCCAATGAAAGTAAGATACATGTCGAGTGGAGTTCTCTCTGTAGCTGTTGACAGGACAATTGCCTGTCATAGAGACTCAGACATAGATATCGGGATATATAATGTACATGATTCGTCTAATCTTTCGCCCTGCTGTGACCCCTTACCGCATTACATCTTCTGGGGAAGTTTGCCTGCTCTATGCCATCTTGCTGAATTCAAGGACGCTTGTCCTCATTCTTTGGGTCCCTGCTCTCTTCCTCATGCTCAAAGTTCTCCTCCTCATCGCCCCTTTCTAGATCGTCCTCGAGCTCCTCGGCCTCTGTAATATGTGCCCGGGAAGCAGTCGAGCCACCATCCTTAGAAACCTCACCACCGCTCATCTGCCACTCCATGAGCTTGCTAAATGCGCTATCCTTGTCAGAGGCGAGCTGCTTGTAGCTGCCGATCTCGGCGACTTTACCCTCGTTGTTGAGAACGATGATTTGGTCAGATCTTTTGATAGTAGAGAGACGATGGGCGATGGAGATAGTGGTGTTACGGCCACGTAGAAGGCCAGCCAGAGCCTCGTTGACAAGAGTCTCTGACTCGGCATCTAGCGCAGATGTAGCCTCGTCGAGAATCAGAATATCAGGGTCTTTGAGCAGAGCTCGTGCAATGGCGATTCGCTGCTTTTGACCTCCAGAGAGCTGAGAGCCTCGAGCACCAACCTGGGTTTCTAGACCGTCAGGCAGATCACTGATGAAGTTGCAGTTGGCTCGTCGAGCAGCAGAGATAATATCGAAACGGCTGGCCTGCGGTTTTCCATAGGCAATGTTCTCGGCGATGGTTCCAGAGAAGAGAACAGGTTCTTGAGAAACCATACCGATCCTCCTTCGCAGGGACTTGACATTCATTCCAGAGATATCCTGGCCGTTGATGGTGATGGATCCTGACGTAGGGTTGTAGAATCTTAGTAGTAAAGATGCTACTGTTGATTTGCCTCCTCCTGACGGGCCAACCACACAGACATTGCTGCCTGAAGGGATTTCGAAGTCCAATCCGTTGAAGATTTTGACAGCAGGTCGGGTAGGATAAGCGAAGCTGACATCCGTGAACTTGATGGGGCCTTGTGCCGATTTGACTCGAACACCGACTGTTTGTGGAATTCCTGGTTTGCGATCCTGGAGCTCGAAGAGTCGACTCGCGGCACCAACTCCCTTCATGAGCTCTGAATAGAAACCAGAAAGACCGAAGAGACTTGAGCCTGCAAAAGCTGTGTACATCATGAACGAAGTGAGGTCTCCAAGTGACATGGCTCCGCTCCGTACGAAGCCACCTCCAACGATCAGCATGGCGAGAATGGTCATGTTACCAGCCCAACCGGTCGAAGCAAAGAAGGTGGCAGCAATAAGTGACTCCTTCTTACCAAGAGCAAAGATCTTTCGGATTTGGTTGTTGTAGCGGCCGATTTCCTGCACTTCACCGACAAACGCTTGACTGGTCTTGACATTACCAAGTCGTTCCTCGGCGATCTTGGTAAGGGTACCTAAGTTCTTCTGAATCGACCTGCTGACATTTCGAATAGCGCGACCGTAGATGAAGGCTCCGACGGCGATAGGAGGGAACATGAGCAGCAAAAGACCAGTCAGTTTGGGGCTTGTCCAGACCATGATAGCAAAACCAGCACCTCCACTGAAGAGAGCGCGAAGACCATCACTGAGGTTTTGCGTCACAGACTTGCCAACGATAACCGTATCGGAACTGAGTCGTGAAATGAGATCTCCCACTCGGTTTGCATCGAAGAATTCGGCGTCCTGTACATATGTACGTCGATAGAGTTGAGATCGAAGTCTGGCAACAACACGCTCGCCAACGATTCGGAGAAGGACGACTCGACCAAAGTTGGCCATAGCTCCAATAGTCAAGACAGTACCCAAACCAAAAAAGAACTGGTTCATTGTCAAGCCAAAAAGACGGATATCCTCAGATTCGCCTTTCGTAGCAAGATCCAAAATCCGACCAACGGAGAAGGGAATCAACATGGTGACACTAGAAGAGATGACCAGAAAGACAAAAGCGATACCGAGCCAGCGAATTTCGGGGCGAGCAATCTTGATCAGTCGCACAATTTCATCCGTACCAGCCTTACCAGCCTGCTTTCCCTCCTTGGAGAGCTTAGCAGCCAGGTTGACCTGCGCCGCCCGAGCAGCCTTTTCACTCTTGGTAAACTCTTGCTTATGCTCATCTTGGGCGATAGCTCGGTTGGCCTCAAGTTCGACAGGTTTCTTGGCGCCTTCTTCGACCTTAGTCTGGATTTCCTGCAATAGACGAGGTGCCGTCGAGAACTGTCGCAAGGCGTGCGAAACGGGACCAAACTGAGAGGGTCGATTCTGCGCGAGGGAAAGCTGGTTACGAGGTAGAGAACTATTTGCCAACGACCGGAAGGTGGCAGTTGAGAACGGAGGTAGAGCGACTTGACGGGTGCTGGAAGCGTGGAAAAGCCTCGACTGGAGAGGGAGAGCTTCGGACTTGTAGAACGAAGCTCCTAATTGACATCGCGATGTAGCCAGAGACACTTGCGAGGGCTCGGCGAGGCGTGGGAGCAGCACACGGCGTGCTACTCCCGAGACCATTATGACGGTAGGGTAGGAATTGATCAGACGCCCACTCAGCGTAGCATATTCAGGAGCGGCGCTATCGCTGGAGAAAAAGCAGAGGGCTCGAGCCGTAAGGGAGTAGTAGTGAAGCAGCTGACAGAGACGTTGACATTTACAAAAAGAATCAAAGTTATCGAAGTTGTGATGCCGTCATCGTCGTAGCGGCATTTCTCAGCTTCCGAGTTGCGACAGCCCAGTCAAGTCTGGTCCAGTCCAGCCCAGACGAGTCAATGGATCCGTTGCTCACAAAAAATTTGGGTGGGACCCTCGCGTTAGACTATGGTGTGCGTGCTGCATCCCTCGGTCGGATCTACGCGATTACGGCTTCAATTGATCCGACCTGAACCGAATGCTCTCGGATACGATTTGAGCGCTATAACGAATTCAAAACCGCGTTATAAAGATTACACAAAGATATAGGCTGAAAGAGTGCAATCTAGGTTTGCTAGAGCAATTCGCATCTGGCCCGCAAACATCCATTTGATAATGACTAGCAAATCGTGCGCTTTTGAATACCACTAGACTACGACCAGTATTGCTACTGATTCCAATTCTACTAATCTACTCAACACAATCAAACAATTCACTGTACTTAATCATACACTATACTAGTAATATCTGTGCCGACTGTTCTCAGCAATCTATTAGTCCAACCAGAGCTGTTTGCAAGAACATAACATAATATAAGCAACCCCCAAACTAGCAAGCCAATAACCCCCGAACTTATTGATAACATATGATCCAATTATGATTGAGGTTGCTCCTTCAGCATTTCAGCAACGTCAGCATCGATGCCATCATCTCCACCTAGATCAGGAAATTCTTCGGTGTCGACCCGACGGCGCTTATTCGACCCATTGGTTGAGATTGGCAATGACTGGTACGAGGGTGCTTCTTCTTCGTCTTGAGAAGCAGCAGCAGCAGCAGGAACAGGGACAGGAGACAGAGAAGGAGCTGCAGCAGGCTCTCCCTCTGGTGTCAATGCCTCAGGGGTGGGTGCTTCGAAAGGTTCAAATGCCGGTGGAGTCAATGCTTCAATCTCTGGTCTGTCTGGCTCTGGGGGCGTGACGGAAGAGTCCCCTTGTCCTGGAGAGCCGTTGCTGTCCGCTGGGCCCAGTGCTCGCATGATGCCAACCTCGACTTGGTGTTTTTTCTCTTCAATCTCAGCCTTTCGGAGTGTCAGCTGAGTCGCAGCAGACTTCTCTTCCTCCAATGCAGCACGGTTAGCGTTGAGGAGCGATTCTAGGCCAGATACAAGGCCTTCTCTTGCTTTTACACACTCAGCAACCGCGCTCTCAGCGTTGGCCAAGGTCTTGAGAAGGCCATTCAACCGAGCTGCATAAACAGGAGCAGAAGGCACAGGCGTAGATGGGTTAGTTTGCTTCTCATACTCTTGGTCTGCTGATGTGATAGTGGTCTTGAGAGGAGTGCTCAATTTGTTTACTTTCTGGTGAGTAGTGACCAGAGGTGCAAACTCAGATGGAATAGAAGTGGCAGTGTTCGTACTACCGAATGGAGAGCCTCCAAATCCGGGCTTGGACATACCACGGGCCTTGTCAAGGTCTGAACAGGTGGTCAGTCACCAGCTTTTTGGACCCGTTCATGTCAGATTGTACTCACCTCCAATGCGGGCATCGATTGCGGATTGAATTGGTGCTTCAAAAATCGAACGATCTCTCCAAACGTCTATAACGCGTTTTAATTTCGCCTGAAGCTCAGCGGGTGCTCCTTTATAGGCGACGGAAACGGCCTCAGCAATCACAGGCGCAAATGCGATGATAAAGTCATCCTTGTGCCGGATTTTAGACTGTTGAGCCACCTCTGAAAGTCGGATCAGTAAAGCTCATCACACCTGACAGACAAACATACCGTTGGCGAGATAAACCAAGCTCAATCGTTTTGTGCTGGAAGAGTCTTTGAGGCGCTGCATCCACAGCTGTACAGTCCTCTCAGCATGGCGCCTGAAATTGTTAACCATATTTCATGAGATGTCTGAGCGAGAAAGCGTACCTATGGAACATGATCCATTGTGCAGCTGTGGCGATGCTATCATGGCTTTCGTTGAGTGAAGAGAGTCGCGCCAACACAGAGTCATCGTTGTAAGCCATCTTGGTAGCAACGGCTCCTTGGTTAAAAGGAATGAATAAAGAAAGGCAAATTTCAAGAGCGAACTCAAGCGCAGGATTATGGACCAGACGTCGCGACAATTATTTTAGAAGCTGGATTGTAGCTGTTACCGTAGTATCACTGTGGAAACGTCTACTACAGCTACTTGCAGGAATAATGTTCGGAGTCTCTGCTAACTTGTTTCCGCATAAATCACACAAAATTGAATCCTGTTACGATCTGGTTCGCCTGTAGATGAATGCTGCAAAACGAGAATGATACGTAACTCGAATGTGTGATGAACTGAAATGTTTTCTTTGGTAAAACAAGGAGAGTTTATAGATCAAGAGCTAGGTCAATCAGAACAAACATCTGATAAAGTGGAAGTAGTTTCTAAGTGCATAACCATATGGTCTTAGTGCATGAATCTGACCCACTCCATCAAGCTCATCGTGCTCTATGTTTCTCACCGCCCGGCAGAATCCGCCTCATCAGCTAGGATAGCCTACTTGGCAGTAACTGAATAGGAGGACCATAGCAACAACATTCACTGACAATCTTCGCATCCGAACAAGACCTTTTCGAATTTCCACCAGCTTCATCCGATAGCATTTAAGCACCTTCCAATATTCACACACTCAGTATTGATCTTTAAATATCCGCGCTTTCAAAATGGCCGACCGTTTCCCTTCGCTTGAGGACTTCGATTCTGGGGGTAAGTGCATCAACACAAGAAATGCGCGGATCCGACGCTGACGTATTTCTAGCGCAAACCGATATTAAGGACCCTACTGCTGAGCCCTCAACCGATGATTTCCTCGCCCGCGAGAAGGCTCTTCTCGGAGATGATGCAGACCAGTTCGTGACCAACGATGACACTGCTGCCTTCGCTAGTAACGATGATGACCTTCTCGGCGGCGCTGGCAACAATGAGCAGTCCACTTTCGAATCCCAGTTCCCTGACCTGACCAACCCCGAGGCTGTGAGTTGGTTTGCTTAGACACTCTGAATTGAGGAGCTGACATCAACAAATAGGGTACTGGCGTCTCCGGTGGAACCGCCATCACAGGAGGACCCTCTGTAAGCTACAACTCCGGATATCAGGCTTTCGCCGAGGAAGAGGAAGAGCCCGAGGTCGTCAAGGAGTGGCGGGAGCGTCGTGACAACCAGATTGCCAAGCGCGCCGAACAATTCGCTGCGCAGCGAGAAGAGACCATCAAGGAGGCCCAGCAGAACATCGATGATTTCTACGAGAACTACAACAACAAGAAGGAGAAGGGAATCGCGCAGACACGAAAGGAAGCTGAAGAGTTTTTGGCAAGCCGAGAGGACACCGTCTCTGGTGGCACCAGCTGGGATCGTATCGCCAAGTTGGTGGATGTTAGCGGCAAGGGTGCCAAGGGAGGTGCCTCTGGATCTGGCAAGGAGCGATTCCGAGAGTTGCTAGTCAGCCTACGAAAGGACGAAAAGGCGCCCGGCGCCACAGGCTATTAGAACAAGCCCGATTGGATTTTTTTCCAACTATCCGCGGATGGAGTCGCAGGTCCGGTGCAGTGCGCGCTAGACGTTGCTTTTTGAGGCATGCAACTTTCTTGAGTTCTTCATGTATTCTAAAGTTTTGGGAGTCCGGGTTTAATGGCAATGACGTGTGAATAGAGGGCACGATTTGACAACAGGTATTGGTCTCCAGAATGCACATGAACGACTGTAACGATCTCGCATTGGGTTCATCTCCGTCTATTGACTCAATCTACTAATCTCGTTGACCTTCCATCGTAGGCAAGCTGTATCACCCACCACCGCTTAGTTTCCGAAGTAAGAGTTGTAGCCGAGGACCTTGCGACCGGCACCGTAGAAGGAAGCTTGTATCCATCAGTATGCAAGTCCATATCGACTTCCATCTGATCGAAAATTGCGAATTACTTACCACCGAGGGTACCCCAGAGAAGGATGAGGTAGGGAGTCATGAGGACGCGGCTGCGAGGGTTCTGTCATGTCGGTCAGCTGAATAGTAAAGATAGGCTGAACAATCAATTTGGTCGTACAATCTTCCAAAGACGGGTGTGGTTCTTGTAAGCGTTCTGGTAGAATCGCTGGTTCTGGGGAACCGGGTTCTTGGCGTTGACGAAACTGGATGAGCGTCAGTGACGGGTTCTCGTATGATGTTATATCCTGCAGTGTCCGGAGCTCGGGATGAGCCATTGACGTCGGAGAAGGTGGCCAAGGCTATCGCGAGAGTCGGTCGTGGCTCAATTGTACGTACGGCATTTTGAAGTCGGTTAATGAGAGTTCTGGGAGGCTTCGAAGGTTGGTTTCGTGTGGGGTGGTTGAGTTGGTGAACGGAGGATGTCGAAGTTCGGGTAAAGAAATGAGGCCATAACTTGATTGGGAGCTGGGCTCTAGTATGACTCAGCAGAGCTCTTGACGTTTCCGTTGGTGGGTGGGCACGTGTTGGTGCACCCCCTGCCACTCACTGTCTGTAGAGTGCCTAGTACCTAAGTTTATGATGCGCAAACCCCGGGGAAAAAGATTTGGAGCTATGATGAAGGTCCTTTTGAACATCTCAAAGTCTCAATCCTAAGACAGCCTCGATGATTTCGCTGTTATCTTCTCGACTACGACCGATGCGATGATACGAGACCAGCTGATGCTGGTGAATTTACCCAGCCATGCATCGAATCCCTACACAATTTCGAATACGCCAATCCACATATACTCGATGCATCAAGACACTCACACAACACAGATCTCAATATACGGATCTGACACCACCACTTACGAAAACACACGAAAAAGATGACAGGCTGATCTCTGACCGAGAAGCTGGGAGTGGGACGAGGCAGCACAATCTTCAACGAAAGACTTCACAATGGCGGCCAAAGCCCGGATTGCCCTTTCCACTGGGCATTCGCCTGCGTGGAAGCGAACACGATACTCCCTCCAGGCAGAACTCTGATTTGGATGCCATATCCTCGTGGGAGCGTCGCATTATAACGAGCCGTCATGATCGCGGAGACCAAGGAACTTGGGAGACGTTTCTGGAGCTTCGGGACAGAAACCAATTGCATCTTGTAACCAGAACTGGAGCTCTGTTTCTGCGTGATAACATCTTGAAGGCAGCATTGACGAATTCTGGCCGGATGGAGGAGCTTTTCAAGGTCGCAGGACAACTTCTAGAAACTCACGATTTCAATTGGCCTGAGCTATACCTGACAGTGGTTCATTTCTATTTAGCACAGACTGATTACGAAACTGCATTGGTCTGGCATTTCAAACTCATGCCCATGTTCCGTCCTGATCTGGACAGCTTCGGTGCTCTTCTGGCAAGTTTTGCCATTGACTTCACTCCCAAGCTTCAGAGTACTTTAACCAAGATATACGTCTTCAGTCCATACCGTGAGTTGTACGACTATGTTGTGCCGGCTCTCTTCGAAAGTGGCCAGTCGCATGCCGCGCGTGTCTGGAGAAAAAGATTCATTCTTTTCAATGACCATCCCAAGTCACCTAAGTCCATGCCCTTCTTGGATTTTCTTTCCCGCTACTTTTCCGCAATCCAGCTTACGATGGAAGAGCTGGCAGTACTCAACGGAGACACCAGCGCTGGTGATGCCGTTAGTACCTCTGTACAAAATGATACGCGATTGGAAACGAACAGTGGGGTTTTCAGCGACAAGTTCACAGCGCGGTGGTTCGCCAGCTCGTGGACTTCTTCAGAATTCGCGATTAGCCTGATGCATAAGATTGGCCTCCGCACAATTGGCTTTCAGTCGTTGCAATCCATTGCATTGAGAGAAGATGACGCCCGTGGAGTTGCTGATCGCCTGAAACAACTCCGAAAGTTAGGGATTGAAATTACATCCGGAGTCTATTGCAAAGCACTTATCTCCTTCGCTGAACGAGGTGAAGACGACCTGCTCAGAACCCTTCTGCATTGCGATATACACCCAGATGAGTTTGAGAATCAAGAGAAGCGGTCAATGCTACTTGCATCTTCGGCCCAGCGGCGAAATTGGGGCTTGGAGCGATTACTTCAAGAAGTTGAGGGTTTGGCAGCTACTCCAGGACCAAGTAAGGATAGTATCCTCTCGAAGGATCTCAATAAGCACCTGAGTATGGCTCTGTCCATGAAACATCTCGCCAAAGTCAGGAATGTCCTTGATAGGATGGATAGCCTGGATGTTACCATGGAGCAGAAGAACTCGAAAGAACTTCTGACCCGTGTTTTTGAAGACATATGGTATCACCCAAAGCTCATCAGACAGGACACTCATGGCTACCAAGAAGATCCACAACTTGACAGAGCTATTCACCTCTCGTTAAGAGTGGCACGACATGGTGTTGCCGTTCCTGTTAAATACTGGCAAATATTGCTCTATAACCTCGGGCGTCTGGGACGTTTTAATGATCTAGAAGGGCTAAGCTATGAGATATGTGAACTCTACAGCCCGGAGCCAGGGGGTTTAATACCGGTGCATTGGCTGGACCAACCCCAGAAGCCTGATGCCAAAGCCAAAGAGTTGGACGTGGAGTCAGAGACTTGGTCTGAATACTATTCCTTCCCCGATGGTAAGAAAAAAAAGAGCCATTTTAAGGAAGAGTTCTGGAGAGCCGAAATAGGCCTGCCCCAGAACGAGACAAAACCCAGACGGAAGTCTCACAAGCAATCGAAAAACCGAAACGATTCCAACTACGAACTTCGCATACCAGCCGATCTACCATTCACGAACAGACAACATCCCATACAGAAGATCTTTGATATCAGTCTGCAGCGCGCCATCATCCGATGGGGGTTTGATAAGACCCTGGGACAACAGCCGACTCAGTCTTCTCTCGTAACCATCAACCCAGCGGGAATCGCAGACTTCGACCTGGCTTGTGGTGTTCGCTTGCTAGCTATACTAAGAGACAAAGGTGTTTACATTGATCAACAAATAGTGCGAAGCGCAGTGATTAAGCGTCTCGCAGTGGCACAATTGCCTATGAGACCCAGGGCTAGGGCGAGAGACGATAGGGAGCTCTCCCCGGCGAACATGAAGCAACTGGTGGAAGGGGCCTGGGGCTCTGAGATACTCCCCAGTGCGGCGCAATTGGCGTCAGAGATCGAGAACCAAAAACCTAAGTTGTGGAAGAGCTATCCTAGACTTTTCGAAAAGAGTTATGATAACGACGACAGTGTTTCATCTAACCCATACGCCTCAAGGACCAAAGAAAAAGCTGGTTCTAGATAGAATAATAAATAAAAAACGAACGGAGAACCGTGACTCCAAACACATCAGTGACATGTCCCATTGCTTGCTTTACATTGTATTGGTACATGTGTATAATAATTGCTGCCTCTCCATGCCCGTGCCGGGATATGTCAAGGGAGACAGCGGGTATCCCTGAGATTGCCACGAAAAACGCCTCTACCCATGCTTCTTGGGTTTGATCACCAACAGAATGATCATGCCAAAGATGATAAGAATGAGGAGGAGAATGATCTTGCGCTTGGTCGTCCTCCGCTGGTAGCCAGAAGCTACAACTAGCTCCTTGTCAGCGGCTTTGACATCAGTGTTCATGCGCTCAACATTGTAGTCGATACGATCCAGCATTGTGCCCTGGTCGATGACCATGTTCTGGAGATCTCGAAAGAGATCCGACAGTTCGATAATGCCTTGGGCAATATCCTCAATCTCTCGTTCGCGTTGAGCAATGGCAGCATCATTAGAATGGAGTACTCTTTGCTGTTGAGTTGCTTGGAGTGTCGATTGTGAAAAGGATCGATCTGCATCAGATTCTTGAAGAGACGGGTCGAGATAGGAACCTGGCTGGGGTGTACTAGATCTCTCGCCAGGACTCAAACCGCCGAAGCCACCCATGCCACGAAGCTCTATGAGTCCAAGTCAGAATATATCGGAAAGAATCGGGGGGCAACCAACTTTTTAGATAAGCACTTTGCTTCTTTCTGAAGCTAGCGCTTGCATCTTGAACTCGAGCAGCCAGCGAAATTTGTATGTTCTTGGCCATGGTCTCCTCTGCCCTTGTGATCGTACCTGCGTGCTGTGATTCCCGCACCATTTGTTCGATTCGTTGAATGCAGCGATGGCAGTCATGAAAACCCTTGGTGATCTCTTGTGTAAGTTTCTCTATTTGCGTTTCCTCAGCCCTTTTAGCGTCTTCATCATTGAACCCAGGTAGCACATGCTTTTGATGTAGCTTCTCCAAGCTCTGGCCCTTTGTCGCGATATTGGCGAGCAAGTCTGTGATCTCATCCGAAACATCAGCCCATCGAGGGGGCAGTAAGTCCATCTCAATCACGGCATCGCCATCGTCTTCGAATGCGCCAGCCGACAGAAGGCCGCGGCGGTCATCGTTTGCATAGCTGCTGGTATAGGTGTCGGCAAGCGGACCAGAAGCAAGGGCGCCCGGTCCATATGGTCTTCGCTGTGTAGGGTGATGCGCGTAAGACTGCCGGTAGGAGATGTATCTTTATTTCCAAGCTGCATCAGCAAATAGACTCGTTATGTGGAGGTGAACTCGACATCCATAGACAATGACAGGTAACAATGGGCGTCTTACAGGTTCGTGCGGTCTCGCCACATGGCGGACGCAAATTAGGGACTGAAGCTATCGTCAGGCGGAGCAATAGAATGAGGGTTTTCGACTAGATTAAATCGCGAGTGTGAACGTCATAGGACGAGAGGTGAGGAAAGTATTGTCGTCATGAGTGAGAAGATCGCGAATAGAGCCGAGATGCGGGTTGAGGCTGATAGCTGGCTTTGGCTGGAAGCATTACGACACTGGACCACTTCCGTTGGCTAAAATGACAGGGGATGAGTGTCCCCTTCCATTTCTGTTTAGGTTCATGGCATGTACCTCTCTACATTGGAAGTGAAGTGCTTACCTCCACTAAAGACAGAGCTCTTTTCTTATCGTAGCCCGGTATTACACTACCTAGGTATTTCTCAAACAAGTTGATTAGACTGGTATCCAAAACTTAGCTTTTCATTCAAAAACTTGTAATACTATTGGATCTCGATAAGCTGCAGAAGTATCAACTCCTTCCTCTCCCATTCTAACAATGCTTCAGCAAAGGCCGCTCCTTGCAGCTGAAACATCACCTCAGGACAAGCCGCACAGTGTGATAGAGCTGCCATGACAAGCTGTATCCCCTAATTTCAGAATCATCAGCCCCCTGAACATCTAAAACACAGTGCATTGTCTCTCCCTTGTTAGTGCATGTACAACTTTCCTGCCTTAGGTACCGACTTTCCCCTGACCTTTGGGTCTCCCCACGAAAGCTCCAACCAAACCCGTGAAACGAAAAGGTCCGACACTCTTGGCTCGAGACCCCGCGACCTCAGAACTTGCCCAAGTCATCTTTCTTCCTTCTCGTGCGATCGACATCCACCTTTTTTTTTTTACTATCACAACCGTTGCTACCATATACATCCAACATGGTGAGCATGACCCATCCGTTGTTTGGTTGCGCGACCTACCTACCTGTCAATCAACATTTGCTTTACCGCCTTGTCCTCTGGCGTTATCGCCAATGAGCATTGACCCCGCGGCTCTGTGAGAGGGGCTGCAGCTGATGTTCTGGTGATGCTGTTTGATAGTTTGGACTGACAACGTTATTTCTATAGGCCGACTCACTTACCGAAGAGCAAGTCTCCGAGTTTAAGGAGGCCTTTTCTCTCTTTGTAAGCTATCCCTCTTCTTTCGCCGCCTTGCCTCTCCTCGCTAGAAGCTGTCGCTAACCTCTTGATGTAGGACAAGGATGGCGATGGTGAGTGATACTCCCCCTTTCGCGATGTTTCTTCGTTGGCCCCATGCGAAGCCCAAATCGATCCAACAAAGCATCGGACCGCTATATTTCTTTACATCTCTCCCCATGCGATATTCTTGAATCGAACACATGAGCTAAACGCCTCGCTCTAGGCCAGATTACCACCAAGGAGCTCGGCACCGTTATGCGCTCTCTCGGCCAGAACCCCTCCGAGTCCGAGCTTCAGGACATGATCAACGAGGTTGACGCTGACAACAATGGCACCATCGACTTTCCTGGTGCGTAATATTCCAGGACGATTAAAGGACGGTCAGTGCTAACAATTGGGTAAAGAGTTCCTCACCATGATGGCGCGCAAGATGAAGGATACCGACTCTGAGGAGGAGATCCGTGAGGCTTTCAAGGTGTTCGACCGTGACAACAACGGCTTCATTTCTGCTGCTGAGCTTCGACATGTCATGACCTCCATCGGCGAGAAGCTCACTGATGATGAGGTCGATGAGATGATCCGAGAGGCTGACCAGGACGGTGATGGCCGAATCGACTGTGAGTTGCTAGAGATTAGATGATACGGTACCAACGGCACAGTTACTAACAAAATCATAGACAACGAGTTCGTCCAGCTGATGATGCAAAAATAAGGGACAATATTCTGATACCTCATCGACCAAACCCTCAGTCCTGCTATCCTTAGACTCTCGCTAGTCGATGAGTAACGAACACGCATGGCATGAGGAGGGAACTGGTTGAATCTTCTTTACTTAGTGGCAAAACTGCAAGCGAAACGAAGGGCATCTCGGACTGGTTGGACTGAAGTTGTGGAGGGTAATCGGCTTGCTTCCCGTGTTACTTGCTATCTCTGCGGCTTTTGTGCCATGGAATCTACCTGCATGGCTTCTAACAACTGAACAATTTTCCATTTGGCCCGCAAACTTCATATTCGTGCCGTATCTTTACTGCTGTTTAAATTTGTGATTGTTACCATCGCCAGTCTGCATGTCAACTAATACTCATCCAATGACTTTGGTGAGGGGCAATGAATGGGCGGCGGGCGGTCTGAGAAACGTGCCCGCCGTTGGAGCCAATTTCTCGCTGAATCAGCCCTACAGCCCACTGGGCGGGAGCCTGGAGGCATGGCTTGTCGAGTATAATGCATGTAAGGGTATCTGCTAATCCAGGGCCCTCAAAGCATGTCCAGTCTCTTTCAACATGGCTGCCGAAACTATAAATGCGATTGACATGCATGCTCCCTCGCCGCGAATGGCCAGCTCGAGCTACCCTCTTGATCTTACTGTTTAGGGGCAGGTATCCATTGATGGGAACTCCTTTGTTGAGGGAGCCAACCCTTGAAAGCTTATATTGACTATGAGTGGTTCACGGCCGATATAAGGCTCCAAAGAACCAAAGCCCAAGTATGTAGCTAGACCAGTCGGAGAAGGCAACCGGGTCAGCTTAGCTTACGAGGGGCGCTATGGCTATGCCACATCGTCTAATTAATTGCAAGGGAGCTACTAGGTTTGACCCCACAGCAGTACGAGCTGATTCTCCCCAAGTCTCGAGATGTTTTCTGCCATTTAAGGGTTCGAAAGGGGCTGGCAGAGAGGAAAATGTGGCATTGGCCAGTCAAGGCAAAAGAGCCGAAAAAAGTTCAAAACTCAACGTTTGTGCTACGTGAAGCCGCATTAATAACGGTTCTATCCAATTTAAGGTATTGAAGGATGAATGCCAAGCAAGGGAAGCATTTACAAGTGCAGTAGGTAATTAATGGAAAAAGGACCCTGCTGCTACCATACCAACAGTACAGGATGTAAGATGCCACACGCAGGATTCATCATTATTCGTACGGCGCATTCCTTCACGTGTTAGTAGGCTAGTGATAGTAGACGTAGACCGCCCGCCGCAATTTCATGTCGTATTTTCAACTGGACAGAAGAGACGAGACAGCCCTCAGCCACATACACTGACACTGACACTGACACTGACACTGACATTGACACTGATTTCAGATATTTATGCGCTGAAGATTGAGGGTTTATTCATTGACTAAGAATCAGAGGCATTTGCCCTTTTCCCGTTACTCCCCCCCGTCCTGTCCCTTCAATTCCTTACCCGTAGCCTACCTAATAAGGTACCTACCTAAACTCGACACTCGCTCTAAGACGTGTCTAGACTCGGCCTCGGGCTTGAATGAAACTTGCTGTTGGTCCCCCTCGAGTCGAGACACATCGCCAATCTTTTTGACAGCTCCAACATCAACGCCTTTGAACTTACCTCAGCCTTTTCCCCGTCCTGGGTCTGCGATGTGAGGTCACAGATTGCACCTCACTATCTTCTCTCACCTAGACCCTGTGCTGCTTATTAGCAGTCCACTATCTACACAATGGCAGGTCCCCTACGGCGAGGCCGACTCTGGATCGGTGTCGCCTTCATCTGGATCTTGTGCTTTTGGTACTGGTCAAATTCAGACTCTGGTTTCAAGTTATTCGGTGATGGAGATCCTCTTGCTGGAAAAGGCGCCACTGCTTGGACGCGAAGATTACCTAAATATCCTATTCCAAAGGAGAAATTAGCTGCCTTGCCAAAGATCACCGGAGATGTCAAGGTCCCCAAGATTCAAGCTGCTGCTCCAGTCGAGAGCGCCGCGGCCAAGGAGCTGCGACTGTCGCGATTGGCTGCAGTTAAGAAAAGCTTCGAGCACAGCTGGAGCGGATATTCCAACTATGCCTGGATGCACGACGAGGTGACCCCGTTGACCGGCAAGTCCAAGGACCCCTTTGGCGGTTGGGCTGCCACGCTGGTCGACGCGCTCGATACCCTTTGGATCATGGACATGAAGGATGAGTTCACAAAAGCTGTTGCCGCTGCAGACGGCATTGATTTCACCAGGAGTCCCATGGCAACTATCAACATTTTCGAGACCAACATTCGCTATCTTGGTGGATTCCTGTCGGCATATGAGTTAAGCGGAAGAGCTCATCCTATCCTCTTGAAGAAGGCTATTGAGCTGGGAGACCTTCTCATGTGCGCTTTTGATACACCAAACCATATGCCAGTTACTCGATGGGAATGGAAGAAGTGAGTTTCATCAACATTCATTATGGATTACCATTGTGTCTAACATGCTTAGATCTGCTTATGGCCAAGCCCAGTCTCCCTCACGAGAAGCCCTTGTTTCTGAACTTGGTTCTCTGAGTCTCGAGCTCACTAAATTATCTCAACTAACCGGCAACCCAAGATTCTACGACGCTGTCAAGAGAATTGGAGACCAGTTTGAGTCTACGCAACTCAACACTCGTCTTCCTGGCATGTGGCCGGTAGTCGTTGATGCTTATACGCCAGCCTTCCATGCTGGTTCAGACTTCACCCTTGGTGGTATGTCTGATTCGCTGTACGAGTATCTTCCCAAGTGGTATCTTCTTCTCGGCGGTCAACTCGAGCAACCACGCCGACTATACGAAAATTTCATTCCTGTTGCCATCAAGCACCTTTTCAAGCGAGCATTGACACCTTCGGCCAAGCCGGTCCTCATCTCTGGAGACTACCAGGTAACTGATTTGCCAGGCGAGCAACCCAAGTACACCTATGTTGCACGAGGCCAGCATCTGACCTGCTTCGCTGGCGGTATGGTAGCAATGGGCAGCAAGATTTTCAACCGCCCAGCCGATCTCGAGATCGCTACCCAACTCACAGATGGCTGTATCTGGGCTTATCAGGCTACGCAGACAGGTCTTGGTCCTGAGATCTTCAACTTCATCTCGTGTGGCGGCGTCGATGCTAAGGACTCGAGCGATTGCACCTGGAACGAGGACCGGTGGCTCAAGGCTATTGAAGAGCAGCACGCTCCTGACTTCAGGGCACCACCACTGAGGGGATCAGACTGGAAGAAGCCCACAGTTCACGACGTGATCAAAAAGCACAACCTTCCCAAGGGTATGATCGATGTGAGCGATGGACGGTATATTCTCCGGCCAGAGGCTATTGAGTCCATCTTCATCATGTATCGCGTCACAGGAGATGCGCAGTGGATGGAAAAGGCGTGGACCATGTTCGAGACGATCGAGAAGGTGACACGAACTGAGATTGCGGCTTCAGCGATAGACGATGTCACCAAAGCGGAGCCCACCAAGATGGACAGCATGGAGAGTTTCTGGTTGGCAGAGACTCTCAAGTACTTTTATCTCATCTTCAGCGAATTCGATGTTATCAGCTTGGATGAGTGGGTGCTTAACACTGAAGCACACCCTCTGAGTCGTCCAGATGTAAAGTAAGCTTGTTTGTGGAAGACGGATGTGTATGGGAAGGAAAGGGTTTAAACACTGTATGAGCGGTTTCTATGTGTATTCCTAGAGTCATAATATCACGCGTGTACGAATAAACAAGTATGCTTATTCTTTTTTTCTATTGCTATGAAATTAAGTTGTTAAATACTCGAATGATGGGTAATTGCCTTCGTTAACAGCTCTCAACGACTTCTAGGTATGAAGCTTATTTCATATTTAGTGATGACTAACGCAGTACGTACTGCCAAGCAAATCTAGGTAATTCGGCGTAGGCCTGCTCTGTGCCCCACGTCCCGTCTGAAAGGTGTCCGCCGCAACGCAAGCAGAAGTACAGCACAGCACACACCGTCACTGACACTGACCTGTAACTTGACGGCGCAACTTGGTTTCTCTTTTATCCAGCTGCCTTGAGTAGGCTCCGACCAAAACCTCCTATTCCATCCTCCGCCTCGATACGTACATAAAGCAACAGTAGCTCATTGCTCTATCCCAGAGCTGATTGAGCTTCGACGAGCCCCCATCGCTTCCCTCACAACCCCTGGATAAGCATCGACCAGACGGCCCAACCGCTGGGTCTGTCCTCCCAAGATGAGTTCCCGTAGGGCACCGATGAGCTATCCTCCGCGGTCTGATCAATCAGAGACTTACCTTTACTTTTACTCGGGATAGTCAAGCAGTTTATTCGAAACGTGCGTGCGGCCAAGACGATCGCCGACGAGCGAGCTGTCATTCAGAAAGAGAGCGCTGCCATCCGCGCCAGCTTTCGAGAGGAGAGCCACGACCCCAACATTCGGTGGGTTCAACAGTGCTATTAGAGGGATGGAGATACTGATGCAAAGGTAGTCGCAACAATGTCGCAAAGTTACTCTACTTGTTCACACTTGGAGAGCGAACCCATTTTGGACAGATTGAATGCTTGAAGCTCCTCGCCTCCCCTCGATTCGCCGACAAACGTCTGGGACATCTGGCTACAAGTTTGTTGTTGGATGAGAATCAAGAAGTCTTGACATTGGTTACCAACTCGCTCAAGAAGTACACTTCTCCTATCGCCCTGTGAAACACCTGGTTGCTGACTTTGGTTTAGCGATCTCGGACATTCCAACCAATATGTTGTTGGACTTGCTCTCTGTACACTAGGAAACATCGCCTCGATTGAGATGTCACGAGATCTCTTCCCCGAAATCGAAACCCTTGTCGCCACAGCCAACCCATATATTCGAAGAAAGGCGGCTCTGTGCGCAATGCGTATATGTCGAAAGGTTCCAGATCTACAAGAGCACTTCATCGACAAGGCGACACAGCTTCTGTCCGACAGAAACCACGGCGTCTTGCTCTGCGGCCTTACCTTAGTGACAAGTCTCTGCGAGGCAGACGAGGAGGAGGGCGGAGAAGAAGGAATTGTTGAAAAGTTTAGGTCTTTCGTCCCGGGACTTGTCAGAACTTTGAAAGGGCTCGCTACTTCAGGTTACGCACCCGAACACGACGTTACTGGCATTACCGACCCTTTCCTGCAGGTCAAGATCCTCCACCTGCTGAGAGTTCTGGCTGTGGGTGATGCAGAGACCAGCGAGCAGATCAACGATATCTTAGCCCAGGTTGCTACCAACACCGAATCATCAAAGAATGTTGGAAACTCTATTCTGTACGAAGCTGTGCGCACGATCCTCGACATCGAGGCCGATTCTGGTTTGAGGGTTCTCGGTGTCAACATTCTGGGCAAGTTCCTCACCAACCGCGATAACAACATCCGATACGTGGCTCTCAACACTCTGATCAAAGTTGTCGCCATCGAGCCCAATGCTGTACAGAGACATCGAAACACCATCCTGGAATGTTTGAGAGATCCCGATATTAGTATTCGCCGCCGAGCTCTGGACCTGAGCTTTACCCTGATTAATGAGAGCAATGTTCGAGTGTTGATTCGGGAGCTGCTTGCTTTCTTGGAGGTTGCCGATAACGAGTTTAAGCCAACAATGACCAGCCAGATAGGTATCGCCGCTGATAAGTTTGCGCCTAACAAACGATGGCACTTCGATACAATGCTCCGGGTTTTGTCTCTGGCCGGTAACTACGTCAAGGAGCAAATTCTGTCATCATTTGTTCGCCTCGTCGCTACCACCCCTGAGCTACAGACGTATGCCGTTCAAAAACTCTATATCAACCTTAAGAAAGACATTACTCAGGAGAGTCTGACACAAGCAGGTGCTTGGTGCATCGGCGAATATGCGGATGCTTTGCTTAAGGGTGGACAATACGAGGAAGAGGAGCTTGTCCAGGAAGTTAAGGAGCATGAGGTTGTTGACTTGTTCTCCCTGATTCTCAACAGCGCATACGCCACCCAGGTGTCCACAGAGTACATTGTGACAGCCTTGATGAAGTTGACAACCCGCTTCTCTGACCCTGCTCAGATTGAGAAGATCCGACGGATTCTACAATATCACCAGACCAGTCTTGATATCGAGATTCAACAGCGAGTTGTTGAATATGGCAACCTCTTCAGCTTCGACCAAGTCCGACGTGGTGTGCTCGAGAAGATGCCTATTCCTCAGATCAAGGAGGAGTCTCGTGTGCTTGGACAAGCTCCTACAAAGAAGAAGGCTGCCAACAGAAAGTCAAGAGTCATCAAGCCAACAGAACAAGACCTCCTGGATATTATGGATGCGCCTGCTGCGTCGCCAGCTGCTCCCTCAACAAATAACACTGATCTCCTTGCTGATATCTTGGGTGGTGCCTCTTCTCCTCCTCCATCTGCCTCTTCGCCGCCTCCTCAACAATCCAACGTATCGAACATCATGGATCTATTTGGCTCTGCTCCTGTACCATCTACAAGTTCTCCCGCTCCCCCTTCATCGAACCTCGACCTTATGTCTCCCGTGTCGTCAGCACCTCAATCTCAGGCATCCCAGGCACCTGCTGGTATCCCCTGCTATAACGCGAATGATCTCAACGTGACATTCCAGATCCAACGCAACGCGGAGGGTATGATTCAAGCCACTGCAAGGTTCATCAACACTTCTGGATCAGCGAATCTCTCCAATGTGTCTCTACAAGCTGCTGTTCCCAAGTCTCAGAAGCTGCAACTGCTGAGCATCTCTTCATCGGACCTCGGACCTGGGGCTGAAGCCACCCAGATGATGCGAGTGTCCGGCTGCAAGGGGGTAAGTGATGTTCTCATTTCCTGGCAACAGAATTTGGTATACTGACAAACGTTTTAGCCTCTGCGTCTGCGCTTGAGAATTGGATATACGCACCCAACTGCTGGACAGGTCATGGATCAGGTCAACTGGACAGAGTCGTCCTAGATATGTGCGTCATGACGATTTACGGGACACGGAGGCATATGGTGCCTTGGAGAAGGTAATGTAACTCGACGTTATGGACTACAGGAGCTGGACTTGGCGAAGATAGAATTCTAAAACGGAGGGTAAAGCATTGTTCTTTGCAACAAAATTTCATTCAATAATCAGATTCGCCGAAGCGTGCAGTATCATCTTCGTTGTCTTTATTCAGATGTAGGTGTGTAGGTCGTCGCCTGACTCAGCTTTTATGAGTTTATGTCAATAGTAGTCCACCCCACTATGACATGCACATGTGAACATGAGGCCATCGACTATAATCACACACCTGGACAGTTTTATGCGAATTCATGCCTCTCAGCCTTGCGACTATTAGTCCTTGTGTCTCTTTACTGGGCCGAAGATTGAGACTTGCTGCCATCAAACCTACAGTCTTCTGCGCAAGACCAAAAGTCATGTCCACTCAACGCAGTGGTCACCTAGAAAGGACAGCTCAGGAGCCACGAGACGAGGTTGGTTCATACCAGTGCAAGTCTTTTGCATAGCATTGACTAATCGTTGGTAAATTAGAGTCTTCTGGATGTACAACTTGAGCGAATAGATCAGGTAAATGAGCGAATTCGGCTGTTCCGTCTTAGGCTTGAGTCGGGGCCAATCAAGGTACATATAGCATATCTCATATTGATCCGAATCTCGTCCAAGATCAATGCTGACAGTATCTAGTTCTTGGCTGGTCAATGGCTTGATACATATATCCCAGGGAACCCCAAACCAGGTGGCTTCACACTCACATCTACGCCCCGCGCAGCTGCCGATCCCAAGTCTCCCTACCTGGAGTTGGCAGTACAAGAATCTCCAGAGAACCCTCCTGCGGCATGGCTCTGGCAGTCGCCGCCTGACATCACTGGTTCCAAGTTACAGGTGCGCGTTGGGGGGAGCTTTGTCTTTCCACCAGCCGAGATACCCCTCGACGACATAAGCCGTGTGGTGTTTGTTGCGGGCGGCGTGGGTATCAACCCACTCGTCAGTATGACGGGGCATATAGCTGAAGAGGGATACAACCTTGATGTCAAGGTTCTTTATGCTAGCAAGTTACCTGCGCAGGGACTGAAGGGTGTTCTTTTTCTGGAGAGAATTAGAGAATGGTTTGCGGAGGAGAGACTCAGTGGTGATTTGAAAGTGTTTGCGACAGGAAGATGTGATGGTCATATCGAAAGCGGTGAGCTTGATGTTCATGAAAGGAGATTCACAGTTGAAGATGTGAAGGAGGCTGTGGGTGAGAAGAACAATAGTGTGGTATATGTCTGTGGCCCCGCGACGATGACGGATGAAATAGTTGATGGCTTGACAGGAGACGGTGGAATGGATAAGAACAGAGTTATGCTTGAGAAGTGGTGGTAGACATCGGTAGCAACGCATTCGTGGATGAATAAGTTTAGCTGAGAGGATCATCAATAGTCGCAGGAGCACAACAACCACCAAACTTCACAGTAATCAGCCCATCATCTATATGTGACGTCTGTTTGGGATTCTCATGTGGGAATTGCAGATGAAAGAGCCCACAATGCATCTGTTTTATTGCGCCTTGGTATCGTTACAAAACCATTTATATATTCACCAGCACCCATCACTTATGCGTCCGTATCGTTGACCCAGTTCGGTCGTTGCTGTTGTATAGTGTGTACCGTGTTTCGATGAAGTCCTCGTTTAGGAGAAAAGGTCCTCGGCCTTCTGTCGTTGCTTCGATCTCCCTCCTCCAAATAGTTCCTTGCCAGTATTGTTGCTACCAAGCTTAGTAGGGAACAACTCGCGTGCATTAGCCGAGGCAGCACCCTTAATCGCAAAGCCTTCACCGCTCCCCTGCTGGCTCGCCATGCCACGGATGTTGAATGAGCTACCATCGCTTCGTGCATTGGGTACAGAAACAATCTTGGGGCGATCCTCATCCTTGAGTCGGGCTGATCCTATCGCTCGCTCGAGGGTATCCAGGTTTCCTCCACCAAACTGCTTGATCGACTTCTTGGTTGGGAACAACTCCTTATAATTGTTACTGCCTGATATACGATCCTTGAGATCCCGGGCTCGCGTTCTGTTCCCGGATGAACTAGCCCTCTCACCCATTAGATCGTCGCCGTCACCATCGCGCCTGGGGGATGCAGATCGGTCGCGTTGTGTTTTCCGGCCTGAAAACAATTCCTTGCCTTGGTTCTCGCGGGCATATGAGCGTGGTCGTTCCTCTATGTCAGAGTCACGTCTTCTCCGTGTCGGGCGAGGCGCATCATCGTACATGCTGGCTTCGAACGTCTCAACGTCATCGTCAGAGGCGCGTCGTCGTCGGCCCTCGCCGCCCCTATGATAGTCATCGTCACGATCCCTGTACCTTGACCGGTTTTCCTGATTCCTGCGTCGTCGCTCCTCGGGGTCGTACTCAGGATGAAGGAGATAATAGCGGCTGCGCAAAGCAGCACCAGCCTCTTTTTTGTCGCTTAGTATGGCAAATCTCACCTGAAGAGAGATCTCTGGCTTCCCTTCAAAAGCCTTCGCAGGCAGGGTCTCTCCAATTGCCAATGCTGTGGCATCTGCAACGGGGACAGAGCTCAAGGCAACAATTGCATCGCGGGCCGTGGGCTCAGAAGGGAAGAGAAGATTGGCGGAAGAATCGTCAATCCACTCGATTCTGTCGACATCGCCAAAGTGAGCCTTTACATAGGCTTTGATGTCGGATGTATGTAGAGAGTCGACACCCTTGATGTGAATCTTTGTCGGGACGAGGGTCTTGGAGTCATCGGTCGTAGGCTCGTCTTCAGCCACCTCGCCAGGCTCTTCGGGCTCGTCCGGTTGCTGAAAGGGGAGTCAATTTCGGATCGCAGAAGTCTGGCTGTTATTCAAGCTTACGAGAATATCATCGCGACCGATGTCGACAATAGGTGCGTCTTGAACCGTGTCGACGGCATCGTCCATTTCAATATCGAGATCCATGATTCGTGAAGGTCGGAAGTGCGTAAGTGTTGGAGGTGGATTGTAGTTTAATCTTTTGAACAGTGAATCATCGAAGTTTAGAAACGCAGTTGAAAGAATAAGTAGAAGCTAGAAGTAGAAGAAAAGATGCGAATATGCAGTTGCGGTTTGCGGTTTTGAGGCTGATGTCCTCTAGAAGAGACCCCAATCACTGTTGCATGGGTCGATCGGAGCTTAAATGGCCGGCTCCGCCGCCGCTAGATCTACAACGGATATCCCTTGAAGTCAATTACAATCGCTCCAATAGTACCAAAGCATGATAAAGAATAAATAATCACTTGAGCAATATATTTTCTCAACAATCTTGAGATATGCTTCTGACTCTATACAACAGCTACGGTAGAAAATCAACATCTTGCTGCAATGTAACACCCTCTTCATAAGTCAGCAATCAACGGATCCAGATGCGCTAACACTTCACACTTCCCCGAAACGGCAACACAGAGTTTGAGCCCCACGAGCCATCCGTTAAGTGACAATCTACCCTATAAGTTCACGGACATCAACTTACACGTTGGTCGCAGCGTGTTTCAAAATTCAATATAATATAAGGCATATATTAATATGAAACCCTTACAAGCGAATTCAAGTTGCTAATGTTGTTTCTGATACCTGTCTCTCTGATATCGAAAGAGAAAATACATAATGTCGAAAAGCTTCACGATTGTCTTCGTTACTCCAGTCAATCTTGGCCGTATGCTCTAAACAAATAATGAAGAATTATGATTATGCCGTCCAACTGTAATGGCATTAAAGGGAAGTCGCATATCTAGGTGCAGAAGGAATCATGGGCATAAGGTATGCGACTAGCCGTGGCTGACATGGATAAAAATGAGATGGGCTCTTTCTTTTCCCACAACAATGAAGCCATTTCCTCTCTACTTCATGCCCTCACGATTTGTCCATCTCCACGTCATTCACGTAAACTACTTATCTGGCCGCCACTACTGTATGAGAACAAGCGAGAGAACTCATATTTGGAGAACAAATCTTACAATTCGACCTACCGTATTATCTAATTCAGTCAGCCAAGCGCGTGCAATTATGAGACTCACGTCAGCCACCACAGTCTTGATATTCCACGAATAGCCAGAATCCTCCAACCGAACCGCACCAGAGGCTGAAGCACGTTTACCGGAGGGTTGCTGTGATGAGGCTCGATAACCTACCGCGGATTTTTCTCCTCTCAACACATTTAAAATCCGAAGAACTGCATCATCTCGAAGAACGAATCCCGACATTGACGTATGACATCAATGAGGCTGAGATCGTGATCGGCAAAATATCGCAGCAAAGACGCGCCGAGTTTGAGCTGAGAAGGGCAAAACTCGAGTTTGTCTCTGTAGAGAAACCTCAAAAAGAGAGCCATGAATCTGATTCTCCAGTTGTGGCGGATGACTCAGGTGGTAGTCCAGATCCTAAGCGGAGGAGAATCAAGGAGCAATCCGAAATTAGGACCGACATAGTCAAGGTTGTTAAACTTGCATGGCTCCTAGATTCGTGGAAGGAGGAAGAACTCTTACCCATGGACCACTACTTGATCTTCCAGTGTAATCGAGTCTCGCCTCGTGAGACAACACCTGCACCTGTCTTTGCATCTGTATTACCGAAAGGCTCTACTTCACCAGCTAGTAGTATTCTGGAGCGTGCCCTTCTTGAACAGAAAGCGCAGTCAACAAGCACCTCACCATCTAATCGGCACAAAAGACGTCATGATGCCTCGACAACACTATCGAAAAATGCACCCAGTCTCCTTCATCAAACGACATCGGAACATGACATCACACTCCCTGTGATGCCCGAGTTTCTAAGGACCACGTATTCGTGCCAGCGACCTACATACATGAACCCCCCGAATGAAGCGTTTGTGAACATCCTCACTGAAATAAGAACCATTCGTCAACTTCGAGAGGATGAGGTTGGCGTGAGAGCTTACTCCACATCCATTGCTTCGGTCGCTGCGTACCCTTACGCACTTAAGAATCCGCAAGGTGAGCATTGCTGTCTTCTTTGGTACCGCTAGCAGCTAAGAATTCATCCAGAAGTCGCACGATTGCCAGGTTGCGGTGATAGAATCGCCGAACTGTGGCATCACTGGAAGGAGACAGGCGAATCAGTGGAAGTACGCGAAGCCAACGCCGACCCCAAAATTACAGTCCTCAAGCTCTTTTACAACATATGGGGGGTTGGGGCTGTCACCGCTCGCGACTTCTATCAAAAGGGTGAGCATCGAAAACGAGAATCCCAAACACAAAAGAAACTAATGGCTTTCAGGATGGCGAGATCTAGATGATCTGGTCGAGTTTGGATGGAACACACTCAGTCGCTCGCAGCAACTTGGCGTCAAATATTACAACGAGTTCTTGCTGGGGATCCCCCGAGACGAGGTTACGTCCATTGCCGCCGCAATACTGGAACACGCCCGCCTAATTGACCCAGGATTCGAGATGGTCATTGTGGGTGGTTATCGGCGAGGCAAGCAGCAATCTGGCGACGTTGATGTTGTCTTGAGTCACCGAAATGAGAACAAGACGCTGAATGTGATAGCCCAGATTGTCGTGGCCCTCGAGAAGGCCCAACTCATCACACATACACTGACACTGTCCACTCACAACTCTGATCGAGGACAACGCCCGGTGTCATGGAAAGGAGAAAAGGCCAACAGCTCAGGCTTCGACACACTCGACAAGGCTTTGGTGGTGTGGCAGGACTCCAGCAAAAACGATGTACCGCATCGACGTGTTGATATCATTATCAGTCCGTGGAAGACGGTGGGGTGCGCAGTACTGGGTTGGAGTGGCGGTACAACATTCCAGAGGGATATACGACGATATTGCAAAAAAGTCAAGGGATACAAGTTCGACAGCAGTGGCATACGGCGTAGGGCAGATGGCAGATGGGTTGATCTTGAAGGAACCTCTGGAGGTGATGAGGCCCCTGATATGGAAACAGCAGAACGGAGAGTCTTTGCAGGGCTGGGTCTCCAATGGCGGTCACCTGAAGAGAGGTGCACTGGATGAGTAAGAGCGAGTTATATTGAACTCGACCCCCCTGATGTTTCTGGAAAACGTCAGACCTCCAGCAGTTGGTGGATCATATGGAGTACCCTGCGGAGTTTTGGTTTGTACCTGCATTGGTAGGTGCGGAGTTTGGTTTTTAGACCCATATCAATTACGCCAGGCTTCAACTTGCAACCTCACACCCAATGATTCGGAGGATCCAATCATGCCGACGGCATTGAAATCCGAAATCTGATGACGGTACGAAAATCAAGAGTCGGTGATTACTCGCGTCATCAAATATTTCAAGTCGGTTCGTCGGGCGGAGCGGATCTCGCACGCATAAGCGATACTCCGAAGCTGAACAACACTGGACGACCGGTCTTATGCAGACAGTATTTACTGGAGAATTGATATGTTTTACCGCAACTAGGATTAATAACCCTCCGATTGTGCTTTGGCCATGCCATGGACTAAAGAGACAACTAGAAGAGTCGGTGGATTGTTCCCCCAGGTGGAGCTAACCTGACTCTCCCGGACACGTTAGGTCCGTTCCGTTGGTAGTTTCATCCATTACTGGAAGTGTTTTGTTCGGTGATCTCCTAACCCATTAATCACTATTTAAGACCAAGGGGCCAACCACACCTTGACAACACCATACACCATACCAACTCAACTCTTGCCATTGCACATCTACATTCAGTTTTATACTCCGTAGTTAAATCATCTCATCATGTCTCTCGTCCTTGAGCTCCCTGCTGAATACGGGTAAGGGACAAACCCCTTGCCTCAACCTCAATCTCAACCTCAAACAACAACTGACACTCTTAGCTTCGTCCTCGTTGCCGCCACCTCCACCTTCTTCATCAACACTCTTCACGTTCTCCTCACTAGCAAGGCTCGCAAGCGAAGTGGTATCAAGTACCCCGTCGCCTACGCTTCCAACGAGCTCGCTGAGAAGGACGCCGAGGCCTTCAAGTTCAACTGCGGTTCGTACTAAGTCTCAAGATATGTCATGCCCTTACTGACCCTCTCTCTTCTACAGCCCAGCGCTCGCACGCCAACTTCACTGAGAACCAGATCTCTTTCCTTGGTGCTCTCCTCATCTCTGGTCTTCGTTTCCCCGTTGCCTCTGCCGTTCTTGGCGCTGGCTGGGCCTTCTCTCGTGTATTCTACGCCATTGGCTACTCTGCTGGTGGCCCCAAGGGACGTATGGGGTATGTATTGGTAGTCTACTTCTTCTTGTGACCTTTCTAACTTGACCAACCTAGTGGCTCAATCGGCTCTTTCCTCTGCGATACCTCGCTCAAGTGCATGGCCGCCTATACCTCCATCATGTATGCCCTGGGCAACTGAGTTGGACTGATGGACAAGTTTTGAAAAAAAATGCAATATATGCATGATATTAGTTTCTGTTTTATTAAACTAGACGTGCCACGAATTCCTATCGTTACCATTTCCTGCATTTTTGCTGTGACCATTAGACGCCTGCGTATCCGTCCATTACATGCCACTTGACCAATTCCCAAAAATCATAATGCTCAATCGTGAATCTCATACCAACCCCTTATTCAATCTTCTCCTCTGCATCCCGTACAAGCTCATCTCAGCTTCACCTTCGTAACCTTCTCCTTCTTAGCTCCTGGCCAACTGTCGGGTTATCCTCAGAATCTTGGACTGGCTGATTTTCATCTATATCCACCTTGTCATCCTTTCCAGATTCAGCAACGGACTCGATGCCATTGTTCCCTAAGAGATAGTCTCCGTAATACTTCATCGCATTGAATATCTCTTCTCCTGTTGGGACAATGTGTTCTTTGGGAAGCAGGAAACCGTAGCTGCCGGTATCTCGAAGCTTGAGCTGGTAACTGTAGTGAGCTCGCATTTCATGATAGAACCAGTCGACAGCTGATCCGCCGCCAGATTCGATGCGAGACCAATAACGACCACCGCTGAATTCGCGTGCTGAGACCGCACCCTCACAAGCTGATGCAACAGTGTACGACTCGCCATTTGATAGACGAATAGACTTCGCAATACCTGCGGCAAGCTCTTCCAAGTTCTCTAGATTGGGAGGGTCAACTGAGCAAGTGTAAGAGTAAGGGTAGAGGATCTGCTGCGAGTATGAATGTAAATCAATCAAGCCGACAAATCGAACGTTGTTGTTCCAGGTTTGGTTACGCGCCCAATTGGCAATATGCACCGCTTCAACGGCCTGGAAAGGCTTCTCTCCCCCGTAACTCTCAGAGCATGGGTCCCGTTGAACTTGTGAGCCATCCCACTCGTACCCGTAAGCTCGGTCCAGATCCAGTCCACGGCAAAATTGAAGGTTAGTCTGTTGTCGTGTTTTGCGCCAGAGCCGATCGATATGCCAGGTATACTCGAAGCCATCAGGGTTCGCAATTGGGAGGAAGACCAAATCGAACTCGTCCAATAGCTTTGTGATCATCCGTTCCTTACCATAGCTAGTAATAAAGGACCATGCCAGGTAGTTGACAGTACTTGTTGAGATCCATTCGCGAGCATGAGAGCCGCCCATGATCATAATTGTTTTGCGCCGAGGCGCATCCGGTGCTGTGTTCGGAATTCCCACTCGTAGGGCAGGTATATCACGGCCTTCGTATGACTTGCCGATGTTGATGTACCTGACATAAGACGGAAACATAGCCTCAAGGAGACGCATCCATCGCATCACGACCGGCAGAGACTGGTAATCCTGAAAAAAGAGGTTGTCTCCAGGCGAAGAAGCGACTTTCAAGACCGGAGGGGCGGGTTTTGGATCATAATAAGCTGGGTTTCCTCCAATCGGCAGTGATTTATATACCGCCGCGGCCAAGTCTGGGATCAGAATCGAGTGCGATGCGTGTAGTGTCTTGGGAAGCAAGCTCAGCAGAGGTCGAACCTCGTCAGCGTGTAAGCGAATGTCGACATAGTCATCGGTAAAAGCCCAAACATCGAGAAATAATCGAGCAGCGGCATCGGCAAGGGCGCCTTCTTCGTGCGAGGTAGTAACGTTGAAGCGGAGGACCAACTGATTGAGGTATTGTGCGCGTAGTTGATTGATGACGGGCGGCGGGGTGTTTTTACTCGGATGACGTCCGAAGATGGTCTCGATAGCCTTGTCGCGAAGTTTAGAAAGGAAAGGAAAGAGTCGTTTGTTCGCGTCGTTAATATTGTTTTCGTTGTTCGGTAGATTTGGGACGGCACGTTGTGTATCGATGCCAGCGGCGTGGGCGCTGGAGGCCTGCAGAAGCAGTAGACTCGCTGCCAGCAAAGGCAATCTCATCTTGAGTCCTATGAGAGGATGCGCAGTCGACGCGATCAATTGTTACTGATCGCCTGAAGTGGCCGAGATTGGATGTGGAGGACAGTCAGCCCTCAGCTGAATATTCGATGACAATGTATGATGTAGCGTTAATTATTGAAGATACGAGTGACGATGTTTGAAGATTACCCTACCTTAGTTTGGATGATAACGCACGCAACCTGACGCTTGCCGTTGGCTTATGTGGGTCCAACGTGGAAGTCATTGGATTGCTTCATTGAGAGGTTGTTTAAATCAAACGTCAACTTGAAGTACTAGTTTAAAGTTAAGGAAATTATATTTAACTGTAAAGTTATAGGGCAACTATAATAGGTTATTTTTGGTAATGCGTGACGGTTTTTCAATCCTCAGTTCATGAGGACGATGTGACACAGAAATATATCGGGGCCTTGTCTACCAAGGTTCTAGCACATCAGGATCTCAAATTACCTACGTATAGCTGGTGGTTATAAATAGTTATCGACACTCTCAAGCACACTCTAGATAAGAGTGAATAACAAGGCAATATTGCAGCCGCTGATAGTTGATTTCTAGACCATAGATAAGCAGAAACCGCCAAGTATTTCTAAGGCTTCCATTAGGTGGATGGATGGAAAGAAAGATATGGTTTTGAGCACCGAGCTACTTAGACATCAACTTTTTCTCAATAGATGCCAATATTATTCAGTAAATGATGTCCTCTCAATATGCTTGGCACTGATTCAAAGAAACAACTTATTTTATCTCAGATCTAGGACACAGATATAAGTTTACTGTACCTTATATTAACATAGCTCGGTATAAATGCAACTACACCCACAGGCGCTTGCATATTCTGCATTGCATAGGTCGCCTGAGTAGTATAGCAATCCATATTACCCTATGATCATTCTAAAGAGATCAAACTTCCCATATTGACACTTATGATATGTGGCGTGGCACCTCAATAGATCATGGGTAGGGAGAGGTTAAAACATAAACAACTTGTTCTCAAGACTCGCGATGTATAGAAACAATATGATGTTATTGTTCATTTTTCAAATACTATCGAACCCATTAGTGGATTTATGTACTCTGAGGCTATCAAAGCAAGTTCGCATTCTTGATCCTAATTTAAAATAGGCAATTAAGACAAATGAAATCGACCTTTTGTACTCCATGCTAGAGCGCCTAAGTGATCACCAGTGTTGATGATACTGTATAATACCACTTCGGCTTACGTTACACGCAGCGCCACGTTACAGAGATACAAGATAGCCACCTGAGAAAGGATCGAAAGACATAAAAAAAAAACATTGTGATGCCTAAGCTGCAATTTCAGCCCATTCTTAGGATAATGTTTCTCAATGATCACCTCCTTACACCAGCCACATTAATATACCCTGGCGGGCTAGCGTCTTTGCACCTGAAAGGCCTTTTATAGCGGGTCTTCCAGGAACCCCCTACTCCCAGCCACATGCCTTACCTACGGTAGTAGTGGGTCTGGACACTGTGCATTGGTAGTCTGACATGCGCTGGGCTCCAGCTGGCTCGCTGGGTTAATTGAGGCTGCCACGACCAGCAGCCCCTGGCTTTGGTGGGAAAGCTCCCGCGGAAAGCGTATGCTCAAAGTGATCGAAAACGGATCAACCTCCAACTACCTTCCATGCTACTACACTACATCAACAACGCTCACAATCCGACCCTTCCACGCGACATTTACTCTTGCTGAATTCTTATCATCGATATAGACACCAGGAGTTGTCTCAATGAACACCACCGCGACTGGGTACCAGCCTTTTGCTTGGTAGGTCGTGAGACGCCTGCCGCCCTCAACTGCCACGCTCGCTCGCTC